CTCCTTTTTCCAATTATGGTGTAAAAGCCTTTGACTAAAGGAGCTGCTCAGCTCCTCTACAGACTGCTGTAGAGGGTGGAAGGTGGCGTCCATGATGGATGGAAGCTTGGACAGCACCCTCCTCTCAGCCAATTCCTGCACTGAGTCCAGAGTGCAGCCTAGGACAAAAACATCTTTTCTCACCAGCTTATTCAGTCTCTTTCTGTCCTGCTCTGCGCTGCCAGGAGAAGGTTTGAAGCAGGGGCCTGCTCACTCCAAAGGACCTCAGCCTCCTCAGGAGGTGGAGGGAGGCGGCTCTGGCCCTTCTTATACAGGGCATCGCTGTTATGAGTCCAGTCCAGGTTATTGTTGACGTGAACACCCAGGGATTTGAAACTCTCCACAGTTTCTATATCCTGCCCCTGGATGTTCACGGGGGAGTGAGGTGGGGGTCTTCTCCTGAAGTCCATCTCCATCTCCTTGGTCTTACTGGTGTTAAGACACAGGTAAGACACTCTAAGAAAAGTCAATCCAAGGAAGACCCCCGGCCCTGATAACATACCTGGGCGGGTGTTAAAGGAGTGTGGAGGTCAGCTGGCTGGTGTCCTCACAGGCATCTTTTCACACCTGGCTCGACCGATCCATAGTGCCAGCCTGCTTCAAGTCTGCCATCTGAAGCCTCAGGTCACCTCACTCAATGATTAGCGGCCTGTCGCTCTGACTCCCATCATGATGAAGTGCTTCCAAAGGCTGGTTAAAGAACACATCGTCTCCAGTCTGCCGCCAACATTCCACCCGTTCCAGTTCGCCTACCGATGGAACCGCTCCACTGAGGACGCCATCTCTGCTGCTCTCCACCTGAGCCTGGCACACCTGGAGAAGAAGAACACCCATGTGCAGATGCGGTTCCTGGTCTTAGGTTCAGCTTTTGTAGAAGCAGTTTTATTGTCTTATATATCCTTACACGCTGTCCTATACTTCCTTAGCAGCAAAAACAGTACATGCTGAAGGTCAAGTATGAGTCTTAGCAATAATAAAGTCCATAATGCCTTATTCTTACGCAATTAGATAATGTATGAGGAGGTTTGGCATAAACAGAGAACATCTGTATAAACATTCCTCCGAGTGTCAAATCAACCGCCGGCATCGACCAGCACACGTGAATTCCAGTAAGCTTTGGACATGATATTCCTGTGCATGTGCAGTTACGTAATGCGATGTGAAAACTATAAATGCCGCCTAGAATGGACTGAAGGTGGGGGATAACTGAATTGTGACGATGCATTGGTGGATGTATGAAGTGTTTAAGACAGCTGTATGAATTCTGCTGCTAGACTTCCTCACCAACAGACCTCAGTCAGTCCGGGTCGGACAAAACAACTCTGATGTCATCAGACTAAGCCCCTCCCCTCAGGGCTGCGTCCTGAGCCCCCTGCTGTTCACCCTGATGACGCACGACTGCGTCCCCAGGTTCACCACCAATCACATGGTGAAGTTTGCAAACGACACCACGGTGGTGGGCCTCATCAGAGACGACAACGACCTGGACTACAGAGAGGAGGTGGAGCAGCTGGTGGACTGGTGCAAAGATAACCAGTGTCTCCCTTTAAAAAGAGACAAGTTTTTAAAATCCTGCATAGCGAAATAACGTGATTTTCACCGTATCATTTGCTTTTATACCACTTGTTGGTAGACCTCCAGGTCTTCCTGGGTTTCACGAAGCAGGTTAATCGAAAACTCTGAAAACAGGAAACTGAGTTTTCCGTTTCATTAAGAGTTTCCTCATCCTCTGTTTCTGTTACCATAGTAACATTCTCCCCTGAGCTAACCTGGTCAGCACCAGGTTTTCTTCAGGAAACTGCTGTCTCCACTCCCCTAGCTTTATGCATAAAAAAAAAAATCAATTCACTAGGTACTTTAGACACATTAGATTTTAAAAACAAACGTTTGATGAGGATCTTATTAAAGAATGATCGGCATTAATTCAGAGAATTAAATATTTATAGGGAGAGGATTCTACAACTCAGTGACAGGATAGGAGATTACTGCGTTTTGGTTTGTTTAATACGAGCGAGATGCGGGTCATTTTATTTTTATTTAGTTATATTCACAGCAACTGCTGAGATTATTTTCAGGTTACACATAAATAGATTAATTAATTCCATGGGAAAAGAAATTACTTTAGGGTTAGGATTAGGATTCACTGGTGATAACCCACTGAGCCTACTGGCACTGAAGCCATTCTATGGGACTGATAGCCGCTAATAACAACCATTTATTGGGATGATAACATCTGAAGCAGCTGCAGACACTTAGTATTTACTGTGTAAACGAGACTGAATCAAACTGAATTAGATAATAAACAGGTTCAATATATTAGAAGATTTTTATTCTTCATCCTCACCTGCTGACAGATGATTTCACCTAAATAGATACATTCATCTTCTACCATTCAAGAAATAATCCTATAATATTATCGCGGTCACAACAGACTATGGCAAGCAGTTCTGATATGTATTAGTTTTACTGAATATGCATTCCTGATATCTAAAAAAAAACATTTTCTTGGTCTAAATGACCATTTCAAACAAAATGAAATTCTCCACATCTAGAAAAAAAACATTCTGGATGTCTACTAACTATTTGTATTAGTTTAACTATGAAATTTTTTTTTTCAGATATCAAAAATACATATTAAGTCAAGATGATAAACGTCGGAACAGCCACTTAAAATGTGTAAACATTTCTAGATATACAGGTGCTGGTCATAAAATTAGAATATCATGAAAAAGTAGATTGATTTCAGTAATTCCATTTAAAAAGTGAAACTTGTATATTATATTCATACATTACATACAAACTCATATATTTCAGATGTTTATTTTGTTTAATTTTGATGATTACAAATGACAACAAATGAAAATCTCAAATTCATCATATCAGAAAATTAGAATATTACTGAAGACCAATAAAAACAAAGGATTTATAGAAATGTTGGCCAACTGAAAAGTATGAACATGAAAAGTATGAGCATGTACAGCACTCAGTATTTAGTTGGGCCTCCTTTGGCCTGTATTACTGCAGCAATGCGGCGTGGCATGGAGTCGATCAGTCTGTGGCACTGCTCAGGTGTTATGATAGCCCAGGTTGCTCTAATAGTGGCTTTTAGCTCTTCTGAATTGTTGGGTCTGGTGTATTGCATCTTCTTCTTCACAATACCCCATAGATTTTCTATGGGGTTAAGGTCAGGAGAGTTTGCTGGCCAATTAAGAACAGGGATACCATGGTCCTTCAACCAGGTACTGGTAGCTTTGGCACTGTGTGCAGGTGCCAAGTCCTGTTGGAAAATGAAATCTGCATCTCCAAAAAGTTGGTCAGCTGCAGGAAGCATGAAGTGCTCTAAAACTTCCTGGTATGTGGCTGCGTTGACCCTGGACCTCAGAAAACACAATGGACCAACACCAGCAGATGACATGGCACCCCAAACCATCACTGACTGTGGAAACTTTACACTGGACTTCAAGCAACGTGGATGAAGTGCCTCTCTTCTTTTCCTCCAGACTCTGGGACCTTGATTTCCAAAGGAAATGCAAAATTTACTTTCATCAGAGAACATGACTTTGGACCACCCACCAGCAGTCCAGTCCTGTTTCTCTTTAGACGCTTCTGACGCTGTCTGTGGTTCAAGAGTGGCTTGACACAAGGAATGCGACAGCAGAAACCCATGTCTTTCATACGTCTGTGTGTGGTGGTTCTTGAAGCACTCACTCCAGCTGCAGTCCACTCTTTGTGAATCTCCCCCACATTTTTGAAGGGGTTTTGTTTCACAATCCTCTCCAGGGTGCGGTTATCTCTCTTGCTTGTACACTTTTTTCGACCACATCTTTTCCTTCCCTTCGCCTCTCTATTAATGTGCTTGGACACTGAGCTCTGTGAACAGCCAGCCTCTTTAGCGATGACCTTTTGTGTCTTGCCCTCCTTGTGCAAGGTGTCGATGGTCGTCTTTTGGACAACTGTCAAGTCAGCAGTCTTCCCCATGATTGTGTAGCCTATAGAACTAGACTGAAAGACCATTTAAAGGCTTTTGCAGGTGGTTTGAGTTAATTAGCTGATTAGAGTGTGGCACCAGGGGCCATCAATTTTGAACCTTTTCACAATATTCTAATTTTCTGATATGATGAATTTGAGATTTTCATTTGTTGTCATTTGTAATCATCAAAATTAAACAAAATAAACATCTGAAATATATGAGTTTGTATGTAATGTATGAATATAATATACAAGTTTCACTTTTTAAATGGAATTACTGAAATCAATCTACTTTTTCATGATATTCTAATTTTATGACCAGCACCTGTATAAAACCTAATTCTTACTAGAATAATTGTTTTTTTTACTTTCTAAAATTCAGTTTCGGCTACAAAGATGTAATTTAGAAAATGTGTTATTACAGTTCAGTCTAGGAGTGTCTTATTTTAGTGATCTACAAATGGAACAGAGTTAAATAAATGTAAAAACGGCCTGCCATAGCCCAATTCATACATACCTATGCATTAACTGGAGCCCTTTTCCATCATCCTCTCCTTTGCAGCTGTAGCGCCGTTTCTGTCTTCTAAACACATTCTTTTTTTTTTCATTTCTGCATTAAATCTGCAGTTCCAGTGGGGTGAAATAGACACTTCCTGTTGCCCGTTGTCATGGTGACTCGTGGAATCGGTGCTCCAGTAATATTGGCTTTTCATACTCGTTATGCACGAGCTAAACTCTGAGTGGATCTGAGTTAAACTAATTCATAGCGTAAAGCCAAAAACCACATTCCAGACTTTAGGCTAGATTAATTCTAGTTGCGGATTTGAACCTGACTTTATTAAACCTGCTTCATGAAACGGAGCCCTGGTGTGCTACTGCACCTCATGGGACAGCTGGTCTTGGTTTCGCTCATCATGTGACCTTTGAAGATATGAGCTGGCATCTGCTGATGGTGTGGATACATACGAACATGCAAATCTTGAGGTTGTTTGTTTTTTTAATCCTTTTTATATAAATATATTTTTTCTATTTTATTTCATCACATAAAAAGAAAAAAGACAGAATTACAAGAATGCAACTAAACACGTAGAAAGCCCCCCAGCGTGGGGAGGTGAATGCTTCTGTACATTTATCTCATATTCACAAACATCCATGCAGAGATATTAGGGGACCGGCGGCTTCCTTTGCTTTATTGAAGCTCCGCTAAATGTCCTCCAGACCTTTTATCGCGTGTTTAGATGTAAACTAATACACAGCTCTCTAACCGTCACGGTTTTCTCTCCCAGATTTGTCCATTTAGCTCAAATCCAGAAGTTTCACTCTGTGGAGAGAATAAAAGAAAATAACATTCACCTAATAAATGCGGCGCCGGAGCAGTCTTCCTTAATTTATTTTTATCCTCACACAATCAGGACTATAAAAGAGCACTGGCATGAGGACAGGATTGGCCACATCATCGTGCACGCCAAGTCTGACTGGAAACAAACCATAACGTACTGGTGACCTGCGCACCAGCAACACTCTAAAGGACAACATGCAGAACAAACTAGAAAAAATAAAGGGATCCAAAGAGTGATCTGGATGAACTGATTGAATTGATTCAGTTTTTACAAGAAATCAATCGATCTAAATAAAGAAGAAAGAAAACAGGATATTATTTTACCGGCAGTTTTTAAAAAAAAAGAAGAAAGGACTGATCCTTGTTGGACGGTTCTAGATCAGAAACATCCCGCCGATCCAAAGTCCAGACGGACGGTTCTAGATCAGAAACACCCCGCCGATCCAAAGTCCAGACGGACGGTTCTAGATCAGAAACACCCCGCCGATCCAAAGTCCAGACGGACGGTTCTAGATCAGAAACACCCCGCCGATCCAAAGTCCAGACGGACGGTTCTAGATCAGAAACACCCCGCCGATCCAAAGTCCAGACGGACGGTTCTAGATCAGAAACACCCCGCCGATCCAAAGTCCAGACGGACGGTTCTAGATCAGAAACACCCCTCCGATCCAAAGTCCAGACGGACGGTTCTAGATCAGAAACATCCCGCCGGTCCAAAGTCCAGACGGACGGTTCTAGATCAGAAACACCCCGCCGATCCAAAGTCCAGACGGACGGTTCTAGATCAGAAACATCCCGCCGATCCAAAGTCCAGACGGGCGGTTCTAGATCAGAAACATCCCCCCGATCCAAAGTCCAGACGGACGGTTCTAGATCAGAAACATCCCGCCGATCCAAAGTCCAGACGGACGGTTCTAGATCAGAAACATCCCTCCGATCCAAAGTCCAGACGGACGGTTCTAGATCAGAAACATCCCGCCGGTCCAAAGTCCAGACGGACGGTTCTAGATCAGAAACACCCCGCCGATCCAAGGTCCAGACGGACGGTTCTAGATCAGAAACACCCCGCCGATCCAAAGTCCAGACGGACGGTTCTAGATCAGAAACACCCCGCCGATCCAAAGTCCAGACGGACGGTTCTTGATCAGAAACACCCCGCCGATCCAAAGTCCAGACGGACGGTTCTAGATCAGAAACACCCCGCCGATCCAAAGTCCAGACGGACGGTTCTAGATCAGAAACACCCCGCCGATCCAAAGTCCAGACGGACGGTTCTAGATCAGAAACACCCCGCCGATCCAAAGTCCAGACGGACGGTTCTAGATCAGAAACATCCCTCCGATCCAAAGTCCAGACGGACGGTTCTAGATCAGAAACATCCCGCCGATCCAAAGTCCAGACGGACGGTTCTAGATCAGAAACATCCCGCCGATCCAAAGTCCAGACGGACGGTTCTAGATCAGAAACATCCCGCCGATCCAAAGTCCAGACGGGCGGTTCTAGTTCAGAAACATCCCTCCGATCCAAAGTCCAGACGGACGGTTCTAGATCAGAAACATCCCGCCGATCCAAAGTCCAGACGGGCGGTTCTAGATCAGAAACATCCCCCCGATCCAAAGTCCAGACGGACGGTTCTAGATCAGAAACATCCCGCCGATCCAAAGTCCAGACGGACGGTTCTAGATCAGAAACATCCCGCCGATCCAAAGTCCAGACGGACGGTTCTAGATCAGAAACATCCCGCCGATCCAAAGTCCAGACGGACGGTTCTAGATCAGAAACATCCCTCCGATCCAAAGTCCAGACGGACGGTTCTAGATCAGAAACATCCCGCCGGTCCAAAGTCCAGACGGACGGTTCTAGATCAGAAACATCCCGCCGATCCAAAGTCCAGACGGACGGTTCTAGATCAGAAACATCCCGCCGGTCCAAAGTCCAGACGGACGGTTCTAGATCAGAAACATCCCGCCGATCCAAAGTCCAGATGCTCCAGCAGCGGGGGATTTCAACAATTCTAAAAATCTGCCTAAAATATTTACACCAAAACAGGAAATGGAGGTTTGGTTTGCATGTCATTTCTGAGGAGAACGGCGCCACCTGTGGACGGCGAACAGATTGATTCTCAGTCTGGAATAAAACAAAAAATTAAAAACATAAAACAAATGATCCTTTTTAAAACTGCGGGGGAACAAAACTCACAAAACATGTCTTAAAATACTGCCTCATCACAACACAAGCTGGAGGTGTTTGATTAAAAAAACTGATTCAACTGTACGGCTTTAAAAAAGTTCTCTGCAGCGGTCGGTCAGAACAGGTACTTTCTGCAGGAGTCGGACCCACACCGACACTCCACCCGGATCCTTTTCTTTGGAGACGACGGGAGGCCGGCTAGACTGAAACTGGAGTCCATTTTGGTGCTTTCTGTGTCCACTGGGTCAACTGGGAAACAAAAACATTCAGATTTTATTTTCCCTCCATGAAAGCACCCAGTGTTGCATTAGAGGGAGGAAGGCTTACTCTGCATCTTGTAGTCGAAGGTGAGCTCTTCCCCGGCTCGGATGGCCCGCGTGGAAAACAGAGCGATTCTGGGGAGCCTCTCATCGATGTTATCGATGAACACATTGAAGACCTGCAGGTTCGGGTTACACTGCGAAAACAAAACAAGCCTTTCAGGATAAAGTGTAGAGCAAGAAGAAAAACGTTCAGTGATGCAGTTTAAGAATCCTTAAAAACCAAAAAACACATTCAGTCGTACGAGGGCGATATGAACACCGCTAGCTGTTAGCTGAGCGGCTAGCGGGAAATCATTCAACCTTTGACCTCCGTTTTAAAGGACACTAAATACAGCTAAGTTGTTGTTTGCAGAAACGGCTGCATGGTTGGAGAGATTCTCACAATCACCTGAAAAGCAGCAGCGAAGGAGAGGCGCTTTAGGAAGCAACTCAACCTCCTGGAGTCGCCTAGCCGGTCTCCAGACCTGGACCCAATAAAACTAGATGCACATTCCCTCCTGGTGTCCTGGAGTCACTTTCATGATAGTTACGCTGCTCAGTCTAAATCAGCCCTTAATTATTAATATCACCATCATCAAGGTCCAGCAGGACCTCCTAGCTGATGCTCCATCTGAACCCTGAGATCCTCCAGCAGAGCCCAAGCTTCAGCCAGATGTCTGTCCAAATGTGGGATTGTCTTCAGAAGTCCTCACACCCCATAGATCTATATTAAGAATTATAATAAAAAAAAAAAAAAAAAATTAAAGTGAATGAAGTCATAATTTAGTGTATTTAGGAGCTTCTGCTTTTCTTGGGTTTTTAGAAACCAAGTGTGAAACAGTTAGCTGAGCAAAATATCCAGCATTAAGCCCCTGATCTCAATGGTGGCTCGCCCATAGAGGGCGCTGCCCCAACCAATGACCTTGATCAAGACACTGAAAAATAAAAATGTAATTTAAATTTTTCAGATGTGCAAGTTAAATATTAAATCTTGACGAGTAAAGCTGGTTAGTTCGTCGTCGAACTGCTCACGCATTTAAACCCTGGAGCCTAAAACTCTTTGGACATTGACTGTTTAAAGGTTGTCCATCCGCAGGAGAGCTCTGGGTGAAGGAGAGCTCTGGGTGAAGGAGAGCTATGGGTGAAGGAGAGCTCTGGGTGAAGGAGAGCTCTGGGTGAAGGAGAGCTATGGGTGAAGGAGAGCACTGGGTGAAGGAGAGCTGTACCCAGAGCTAACAGGAAGTGTTGTCACAGTGGTAGTGCGGCTGATTGACGGGTCGAGTCGTGAAAGTTCAGCTCTTTAAAGCAAACTCACCAATAGAAGCTGGAGGTGAAACCGTTTGGACCTGATCAGCTGAACATCAAAATGTGAGACGGTTCACTTTGTCTTTCTCCAGGAGCTACTAACTAATAGCTTTTCCATTATTTAAACTGGTCAATTACTTTTTTAGATTTTTTAAAACAATGTTGAACCATAAAGAACAGATTTAGCTTCACAAAGCCTCAGAAGGGCGAGACTAATGGAAGGAAAGTAAACCTGGGCATGAAATGATGTTTCTGTTTTTATAATGTTTTTTGTTGTTGGCATTCATATAAATATACTGGTGTGATAACTTAACATACGTTTGATTGGCTTTTGGTTTATGTCTACTTTGAATTTATAGCCCCCCCAGAGAAAACTCCACCAGCCGTCGCCGGCCTGATATCACATTTTTTCTCTCACACATTTAAGCTTTTCCAACCTGAAAAGGTCAAGGTTAACTATTCATTTTCATGTATTCATTCATTTATAGTGAAACTTTGATGCTGCTGAAGAACCATGAAGAACTGTTTCCTTATTCTGGTAGTAAACTGTGAGTTTTCCACTTCTGTAAATGAATGAACGACGGCTTTCTGCGGTAAATTAGGGAGAAATCAGCTTTCAAAGTTTTGTTCCTTTCACTTTAGAAAAAACTTGGTTTAGTAAAAGCTGTTAATTTAAATAACTTTGAATAGCTAGCTACAATACCTCCCCCAAATGTAAAGATGTGATTGTGGTATTTGTTTGTATTTAACAGTTTTGTACGGTGGCCCTGAAGTGCAAACTGCAACTACAAATCTAAAAGCGCAACTACATTAAGGAAAACACAACTACATTAACCTACTGGAAAAGGTAGGTACCAGTGGAAAACATGAGACATCGCTGATTGGACGACGGCGCTGTTTGACCCTTGAACCGGAAGTTGCGTCTTCTGAACAGTCCAGCTTCTTATAAGTGTGTCTTCAGTGTACGCAAACTAACCGAAATTTCGTGATTAGTCTTGAGCATATCCAGTATCACCTCGTACGTATGTCCTGATTCAAAATATTCCTGGATAACGGCACCTATGTTTGGGGCGCCGACAATATCCATGTTTTCAAAAGCCGCAGCAGGCAGAATGACTTTTTGTTTTTCTTAATGTAGTTGCACTTTGCTTTATGTAGTTTTCTTTTCCTTAATGTAGTTTTGTTTTCCTCAATGTAGTTGCGCTTTGCTTTATGTAGTTTTGTTTTCCTTAATGTAGTTGCGCTTTGCTTTATGTAGTTTTGTTTTCCTCAATGTAGTTGCGCTTTGCTTTATGTAGTTTTGTTTTCCTCAATGTAGTTGCGCTTTGCTTTATGTAGTTTTGTTTTCCTCAATGTAGTTGCGCTTTGCTTTATGTAGTTTTCTTTTCCTTAATGTAGTTTTGTTTTCCTCAATGAAGTTGCGCTTTGCTTTATGTAGTTTTGTTTTCCTCAATGTAGTTTTGTTTTCCTCAATGTAGTTGCGCTTTGCTTTATGTAGTTTTGTTTTCCTCAATGTAGTTTTGTTTTCCTCAATGTAGTTGCGCTTTGCTTTATGTAGTTTTGTTTTCCTTAATGTAGTTGCGCTTTGCTTTATGTAGTTTTGTTTTCCTTAATGTAGTTGCGCTTTGCTTTATGTAGTTTTGTTTTCCTTAATGTAGTTGCGCTTTGCTTTATGTAGTTTTGTTTTCCTCAATGTAGTTGCGCTTTGCTTTATGTAGTTTTGTTTTCCTCAATGTAGTTGCGCTTTGCTTTATGTAGTTTTGTTTTCCTCAATGTAGTTGCACTTTGCTTTATGTAGTTTTGTTTTCCTCAATGTAGTTGCGCTTTGCTTTATGTAGTTTTGTTTTCCTCAATGTAGTTGCGCTTTGCTTTATGTAGTTTTGTTTTCCTTATTGTAGTTGCGCTTTGCTTTATGTAGTTTTGTTTTCCTCAATGTAGTTTTGTTTTCCTCAATGTAGTTGCGCTTTGCTTTATGTAGTTTTCTTTTCCTTAATGTAGTTTTGTTTTCCTCAATGTAGTTGCGCTTTGCTTTATGTAGTTTTGTTTTCCTTAATGTAGTTTTGTTTTCCTCAATGTAGTTGCGCTTCGCTTTATGTAGTTTTGTTTTCCTTAATGTAGTTTTGTTTTCCTCAATGTAGTTGCGCTTCGCTTTATGTAGTTTTGTTTTCCTTAATGTAGTTTTGTTTTCCTCAATGTAGTTGCGCTTTGCTTTATGTAGTTTTGTTTTCCTCAATGTAGTTTTGTTTTCCTCAATGTAGTTGCGCTTTGCTTTATGTAGTTTTGTTTTCCTCAATGTAGTTTTGTTTTCCTCAATGTAGTTGCGCTTTGCTTTATGTAGTTTTGTTTTCCTCAATGTAGTTTTGTTTTCCTCAATGTAGTTGCGCTTTGCTTTATGTAGTTTTGTTTTCCTTAATGTAGTTGCGCTTTGCTTTATGTAGTTTTGTTTTTCTTAATGTAGTTGCGCTTTGCTTTATGTAGTTTTGTTTTCCTCAATGTAGTTGCGCTTTGCTTTATGTAGTTTTGTTTTCCTCAATGTAGTTGCGCTTTGCTTTATGTAGTTTTGTTTTCCTCAATGTAGCTGCGCTTCGCTTTATGTAGTTTTGTTTTCCTCAATGTAGTTTTGTTTTCCTCAATGTAGTTGCGCTTTGCTTTATGTAGTTTTGTTTTTCTTAATGTAGTTGCGCTTTGCTTTATGTAGTTTTGTTTTCCTCAATGTAGTTGCGCTTTGCTTTATGTAGTTTTGTTTTCCTCAATGTAGTTGCGCTTTGCTTTATGTAGTTTTGTTTTCCTCAATGTAGTTGCGCTTTGCTTTATGTAGTTTTGTTTTTCTTAATGTAGTTGCGCTTTGCTTTATGTAGTTTTGTTTTCCTCAATGTAGTTGCGCTTTGCTTTATGTAGTTTTGTTTTCCTCAATGTAGTTGCGCTTTGCTTTATGTAGTTTTGTTTTCCTCAATGTAGTTGCGCTTTGCTTTATGTAGTTTTGTTTTTCTTAATTTAGTTTTGTTTTTCTTAATGTAGTTGCGCTTTGCTTTATGTAGTTTTGTTTTCCTTAATGTAGTTGCGCTTTGCTTTATGTAGTTTTGTTTTCCTTAATGTAGTTGCGCTTTGCTTTATGTAGTTTTGTTTTTCTTAATGTAGTTGCGCTTTGCTTTATGTAGTTTTGTTTTCCTCAATGTAGTTGCGCTTTGCTTTATGTAGTTTTGTTTTCCTCAATGTAGTTGCGCTTTGCTTTATGTAGTTTTGTTTTCCTCAATGTAGTTGCGCTTTGCTTTATGTAGTTTTGTTTTTCTTAATGTAGTTGCGCTTTGCTTTATGTAGTTTTGTTTTTCTTAATGTAGTTGCGCTTTGCTTTATGTAGTTTTGTTTTCCTCAATGTAGTTGCGCTTTGCTTTATGTAGTTTTGTTTTTCTTAATGTAGTTGCGCTTTGCTTTATGTAGTTTTGTTTTCCTCAATGTAGTTGCGCTTTGCTTTATGTAGTTTTGTTTTTCTTAATGTAGTTGCGCTTTGCTTTATGTAGTTTTGTTTTCCTCAATGTAGTTGCGCTTTGCTTTATGTAGTTTTGTTTTCCTCAATGTAGTTGCGCTTTGCTTTATGTAGTTTTGTTTTTCTTAATTTAGTTTTGTTTTTCTTAATGTAGTTGCGCTTTGCTTTATGTAGTTTTGTTTTTCTTAATGTAGTTGCGCTTTGCTTTATGTAGTTTTGTTTTTCTTAATGTAGTTGCGATTTCCTTAATGTAGTTGCGCTTTTAGATTTGTAGTTGCAGTTAGCACTTCAGGGCCACCGTAGTTTTGTACTGTTATTCATTCTTTTTATATTAAAAAGGTAAAGACAGTTTCCAATTATAGAAACGTCTAAAACTGTAATCTAAAGGTCATCATGTGAGGTCATAAAGGTGATAAAATAACCCAAATATAAAAAACATTTTTCCAATGAAACTGAATCAAATCCTCCAAACCAACTTTCCCTTCCTGTTAAATCAGAATTAAACTTAATAAAAATAAAAATGAGGCTCATTTTAGTTTCTTAGTTTAGGTTCAATTAACACCTCATACATGATAAATAATTCAAAACCTGAAAAGAAGAAAACATTTTCCATACGATTTTCAAAAACAGCAGTAAATCTAAATTCTTCAATCTTTCTGCAGCAGAGATGAAGTTTCGTTTGAGAGGAGAACCACAATCAGCCCAAGAAGACGATTGAAGCTGAAGGTTAGATCTGCAGACCTTCCTGCATCAGGATCAGAGAACAGGAACCAAACTAAAGCTTCCAGATTCATTATTTGGTTCAGTGTCTCCTTATCTCACCTGAAGGTCGTTAGCTGCGCATTCAGACACCACAGCTACTTCATATGGCGTCACATCAAAACACCTACCAGCAAAATAAACATACAACCTGTCAAAACCCTTATTCATTCACACGAGGAGAAAATCAGTCCGAGGCCAGAGCCTCTTCTGAGAGCGCAGTCGTCCTCGTGAGGCGCATGGGAGGAGCCGCTGCGCACGCAGAGCCATTTTCTCCTCTCGGAGCGGCTGTTTTCAACCCATGTGTGATTTTGTTGTACGTTGGTAGATAAACCATGCACAGAAGTAGTTTAACTTGCATGTGAGGATGTTTATTTTGCTGGCGGGCATTTGCCATGACTTCAGCTCCCTCTGACTCACAGAAGGACCATCAAACATGGCGGTGAACAGAGGCTTACGCTGTGATTGACGAAGTGGGAAATGTTCCCTATGTGAGCTGCATCCACAGTGTACACATCCTCCACATAATCCAGGTCGAAGAGGTAAGTAGAGCCCTGCCGGTCGTAGAAATGGCCTCTTCTCTCCGCCTCGTCCGTCGTTATGATCTGAGGAAAACAAAGAAATGGATTTAAATGTTCTGTGTTAAAGGAAAACATTTGATTCTGCTAGATAATCTGAACTGAACATGAAGAAAGCTGCAGATCCAGTGTTTGGATCAAACAGGAATCCCTGATGAGCCTAATAACTTCATGCTTGGTGTTTGTCTTATGAACAATCAGCTGTGGGACCTTCTATAGACAATGGAATCCTTTCCTAAACATGTCCACCTAACTGAATTTAGGATCAATTGAAGCTGTAGAAAAGTCTAAAGGTCTGGTTATCCTCCAGCAGCACTGGGTCGCAGTCAGCTTGTCGCATATATTTTTGATTTATACTAGGGATGCACGATATAATCGGCCCCCTATCGGTATCGGCCCGTATCGGCCTTAAAACTGAATATTCGGCCACCCCACCGATATTTAACCTGATATTTGATCAGCAGAGTTTCTAAAGTCTAAAAAAAATAAAAATAAATACTACTTCTTCCTCCTCAAAAACTTCTTTTTTACAGACTTAAAAACTTCTAAAGACGAGGGAAAAAATATTGATACATTAAAATATCACAATATCTTCATATGCTGATATATTGCCATTTAAAAACACCATATCAATCTCTTTTTTGACATATTTTTATATGTTGATGTATTGACGCGGTATCGATCTATTTTACTAACAAAATCTCACAAGAATTTGCAAAATATCACGAGAGTTTGTAACAGAACGATGAAATTTCACGAGATTTTGAAAGTAAAATAGATCGATACCGCGTTTTTAAAAATCAATTTGATATCAGCATATGAAAATATATTTGAGTTTATTATTTTTCAAAGTGTCAGAAATGGATAACAAAACTGCTATTTTCAATGACTACTTCTTTTTGTCTAGCTTTAACATCTGTATCGATATCGGTTATCGGCTACATGAGTTTTAAAATATCGGCATATCGGATATCGGCCAAAATCCCAATATCGTGCATCCCTAATTTATACCCAATATTGAAGCATGGTTTGCACTATGTTATTCCAGGCTACAAAGCCAGAGGCCCAATCAGAAACTAGCTGTGGGTCTGGATCATTGAGGCGGTGAGGAAGTGGGGGAAAGTTTGTGCGACAATGGAGGGACATGAGGGCCAAAAAGAGCGGGGATCCAGGTGGAAAAAGGGTCCCAGCGTTCTCGCGCACCTCGCTCTTCCAGCTGCTCCATCTTCACCAGTCGTTTTCCACAATGGCGGTCAGACAAACAAAACAATCCGGTAAGGAACCAAACAGGAAATACGCATAGTGTAGAGTGGATGTAGAATTGACCAATCAGATTGGTCTGATTGGTCAATCTATATACATGCGTCAAGCTCACTGCGACATACTGCTGCGAGAGGATAACCAGCCCTTAACTAGCTTAAAAGCAGCACTGCTCATGGTTTCGTTTATTCCCCTTCACAGGTTGATCATTGTGTTGATGGGGTTGCTAGTTTTCTGCGTTCTGCCTTAAGCAACGAAGCTCCTTTGAAAATGAAAAACTTTAAAAATAGAAAGCTGGCTCCCTGGTTTAATGCAAAGCTGCAAATTCTGATCTACCTCGCACTTTTTAGGTTGCTGTAATAAAGAAATAAACATTTAAAAAAGCAAGAACTTTATTGATCTAACAATGGAAAAATTCACCTCTGGATTTAACTCATCCCACTGTGCAGTGCAGTGTGGGGTAAAGGGTCTTACTCAGGGACCCAGATTAGAGGCTGTGGGAGTTCGAACCGGGGACTTGCAACCTTCTCAGAGCACAAGCGCACTCCTCTAAGCACTGAGCAAACATTCCCCCTAAACCTTTACTTCAGAAACTGTCTCTTGACCCAGATGACTTGGTCAATTATAGACCTATATCCAATCTTCCTTTCTTATCAAAAATTCTTGGGAAAGTAGTTGCCAAACAAGTTTGCGATCACTTCCCCCATAATGAACTTTTTGAAGAGTTTCAGTCTGGCTTTAGAGCTCATCATAGCACTGAAACAGCTCTGGTGAAAGTTACTAATGATATTCTCATGGCCTCAGATAATGGACTTGTATCTGTGCTCGTCCTGTTGGATCTTAGTGCTGCATTTGATACAGTTGAACATGATATTCTTTTAGAAAGACTTGAATATTTTTGTTGGAATTAAAGGAACAGCACTAGACTGGTTTAAATCTGATCTATCTAATCGAATTCACGTTGTTCATTTTAATGATAGATCTTCCTCATGCTCAAAGGTTATCTGTGGAGTACCACAGGGATCAGTGCTAGGACCAATTCTCTTTACTTTATACATGCTCCCAATCGGTAGAATTATTAGACAGCATGGGATTAATTTTCACTGTTATGCTGATGATACCCAGCTATATCTGTCTATAAATCCAGATGAAGCTAACCCATTACATAGATTACAGGCATGTCTGAAGACATAAAAACCTGGATGACTCTTAACTTTCTGCTTCTGAATGCAGACAAAACAGAAGTTATAGTCTTCGGACCAGAGTCTTTGAAAAAGAAGCTGATTAGTCGGTCACTTCATTTGGATGGGATTAAAGGAATAGTACACCGAAAACATGATTAGCCTTCATTTTCTACTCACCCCCATGCAGAACAACACTCTGGAGTACTTTTTTGATATCTCAAATGCATCTGGAGATCTGGGAGGCTTCTTGCTGTCTGCTGACATTCAAATAATGGAGGTCTATGGTGCCCGAGGCAGAAAGGTCCATAAAAGTCCACAAAAAACGTGTCAATATTCCTCCATACTGCTCGTCCAATGTATTCCAAGTGTCCTGAGTGGGTAGCATCCATAATTTACTCGAAACAAAGTCATTTAGAATGTTTTTAGAGCATAAACAGTAGTGTATAGGATTTCCTAAAAGCGCGTTCACGAGTCTACGGAAACCGCGGCAGACCAAACCAGATGAAAGTGCGCATTCAGCTCGGCAAAGAACTCATGCTCTTCCTCAACACTGAAGTCCTCAGACATTTTTCTTTCGTTGTTTCTTTCTTTGCACAGGTAAACAGCACATTTCTTCTTCTACGCTTTCATTATCGGCAGAGCAGACGCTGAATGCGCACTTTCATCTGGTTTGGTCTGCCGGCTTCCGTAGCGTCATGAACGCGCAGGTGCGCGCTTTCAGGAAATCCTATACACTACTGTTTATGCTCTAAAAACATTCTAAATGACTTCGTTTCGAGTAAATTCTGGATGCTACCCACTCAGGACACTTGGAATACATTGGACGAGCAGTATGGAGGAATATTGACACGTTTTTTGTGGACTTTTATGGACCTTTCTGCCTCGGGCGCCGTAGACCTCCATTATTTGAATGTCAGCAGACAGCAAGAAGCCTCCCAGATCTCCAGATGCATTTGAGATATCAAAAAAGTACTCCAGAGTGTTGTTCAGCATGGGGGTGAGTAGAAAATGAAGGCTAATCATGTTTTGGGTGTACTATTCCTTTAAACTGATTTCAGATAATAAAGTAAAAAATCTTGGTGTTATTTTTGATCAGGACCTGTCATTTAAATCCCATATCAAAGAGGTTTCTAGAATTTCCTTCTTTCATCTGAGGAATATTGCAAAAATGAGAAATCTCTTGTCCAGGGGTGATGCTGAGAAACTAGTCCATGCATTTGTTACTTCAAGGCTGGATTATTGTAATTCTTTACTATCAGGAAGTCCACAAACTGTAGTTAAAAGCCTTCAGCTGATCCAAAATGCTGCAGCCAGAGTTCTGATGAAAATGAAAAAGAGAGATCATATCTCTCCTATCCTGGCTTCTCTTCATTGGCTTCCTGTTAAATCCAGAATAGAATTGAAAATCCTCCTTCTCACATATAAAGCCTTAAATGGCCAAGCTCCATCTGATATCAGAGATCTGATTGTTCCTTATGTTCCTAACAGAGCACTTCGCTCTCAATCTGCAGGTTTACTAGTGGTTCCTAGAATTTCTAAAAGTAGAATGGGAGGCAGATCTTTTAGTTATCAGGCTCCTCTCCTGTGGAACCAACTACCAGTTTTAGTCCGTGAGGCAGACACCCTGTCTACTTTTAAGGCTAGGCTTAAAACTTTCCTTTTTGATAAAGCTTCTAGTTAGAGTGGCTCAGTTTATCCTGAGCTATCTCTATAGTTCTGCTGCTATAGGCTTAGACTGCTGGAGGACATAGGGACCCCTTTTTCATCATTCTGCTTCATTCTATCTCTATTCTCCCACTCTACAGAATCTATTAGTTCAATCTCTAACGTTCTGCTCTCTCTGCTTTTTCTCATAGTAGCTTCATCTGGTCTGTTCCTGTTTGGCTGTGACTCCATCCTGGAGAGAAATATCAGCTGTGCTGCTGCCATCAACACCTTTGTTTCTAGATGTTAGAGCTTGGCTTGTTTTCCAGTGTAGTCCTGTTTCTCTGACTGTGACTAACTGGATGTGCTCTCTTCATCCTCTGACATGGGAGCTGGCTCGGAGCTCGTCTGCCTGGCTGTGTGTTTCCTGGACGGGGCCGCCTGTGGAGCTGGTTGACAGTTGCCTTTTGTATCTATGCTTCTTTTTCTATGTCTGCTTCTGTCTCCTTGAACGCCAGTGGGCCTCAGCAGATGGCCGCTCACACTGAGCCTGGTTCTGCTGGAGGTTTCTTCCTGTTCAAAGGGAGTTTTTCCTCTCCACTGTGATGTGATACTTTAAAATGTTTATTGACCTGGTAGAGGTGGTTAATATCTGATGCTTTGTTCAGACAGCAAGAGCTGGAAGCATCAAAGAAGCTTCTGCTGCTTCATCTTTGATCCACATTAAGGTCAGCCGTCCAGTAAAGTGAGTCCAGATGCTTCTGCTGCTCCTGTGTTCGATGCCAGAGAGCAGCTTTGCTATATTAGCTGTGATCAGCGGGTAAAAAGTAGTTAGAATCTATGTTGAAGTGAGAAAGTCCTCCTGAAAACATGGTCTGTGCAGTCAGTTCATCCAGATTACCATCCTGCCTTCAAAGATTATTTCTCTGTGGGAGCCACTCAGACCCCCACATACCTGCGGTGCGCTGTCACTGGGAATCCCCAGCAGCAGCTGCCTCAGGCCCGGGAGCCTCTTGGGGGTTTTCCCCTACTGTTGGTGGCGGCTGGAAGTAGATGTTAGCGTTTTTCAGGTCTGTGCTACAAACTGCTAGCCTGACGTAGTCCTACTCAATTCTAGTCAGAATATGAGTCTGATGCTGCTCCATAGAGCTGTGATTATGGGGCGTGTTTTGAACGAACCAGGAAAAAAAATGCCTCTGCACTCAATTGGATAGACCTACAACCAATAAGAGCAATGGAGTGCGTGACGTATGTTAAGCCAGGCATAGTTGTTGTCCACAAAAATCAAAGCGTGCAGTTTCACGCCTAGAATAAGAAGATGAGCCTTGATCGCGTTTCTCTGTTCCTCTTTTAAAATTAATTTGCTGTCGATATCTTCTAGAACAGACCTAATAGCAGAATCTACACACCTAAACTCTCCAGCGGCAGCCATTGTTGTTGTCACCCAAGCACGCATTGGTCACGTGGTTGATTACGTTACACTTGATCATCTGTCCATCATCGTATAAAGCCCGCCCTGACAATTTGATTGGATCGCCTGACAGTGGGCGATAATACTCGCGCTACTATGGAGCAATGCCAGACCGAACTTCCCCGAACTCAAACCTTGTGGGCGGGACTAAGTTCAGACTGGCACCCAGGCTAACAAACTGCAGGCAGCAGGATAATAAAAGCCAACATATTCTGCCGGCGGGTTTCTACATTTGAAGTTAATTTAGGCGTTAATAAACTGTTTCAGAGGAGTGATCATAGCGCTCTGCATCAGCAATGCTGTGCCTGACTCCCTGCCAGCTCCCAGATCAGCTCTGATTGGTTGATGTCGCGTGTCGTGCAGGAAAAGTTAAACTTTTCCAACTCCAGCAGCAGGAGCAGCGCCTTAGATGTTCATGAGGCGCTGCTCCTGCTGCTGGAAACACGTTGCAGGACCTTTTGATGCGCGTCAACTATAGATTTTGTTTTTATATGTTTCATGCAAAAATGCAGTGTTTTGGTTTTATATCAGTTTGATCAAGAGTCTGTGACAAGATTTAGAGTTTTTTCTAACAGTTCAGCCGTCTGATGGCGGTGGGGAGGACGCAGTTGCAAAATCTGCTGGACAAAAGAAGGTTTTTGGTGGCAGCAGATCAAGCTTCATGTCTGTTAGGAAGTTTGTTGGTGGTGGGCGTGAACGCAGGGAGGATCCATCACTCACCTTCTGGCTCACCCTATGATGGGGATGAAGTTTGGAGGAGAACTGACGGTTTCCTCCTGTGAACCCCCTTTATACCAAAACGCTGCCAATACGCCATTATACAGTAGCTGGACGTTAGAAACATGTTCAGCGCTCGTCTGGAACACGGCAGATACCTTGATATGCGTTGGAGAGAAGTTCTGGATAAGTTACGCAGAAGTTACTCAGAGGTTTAGGATCAGCTAGACGCCACGACTGATGAGGAAATGACACTGAACAGATGTCAACCATCAGATAACTGACCTGGAACTGATGGACCACGGATGGCAGACGCTGGCATACGGCGGGAAATTTAGAGCATGTTCAAAATTGATGTATTCGCCATATGTCGACGTGTTCTAGAGTACTTCAGCGTGTTTCAGAGGACTTCAGCGTACTCATAACTTATACAAAACGTGCCCATAACTTCTGCCAGCGTTTTTGCCAGATGTTTCATACGTCGGCGTTCGCTGGTCTAAGTTGTTAATGTGTGACAGGAGCTTTAGACAGAAAACTTTTAACCTTTAATAAGACTGAATGATCTGGCTGAACTATCTCTATAAGTTGACCTGAGATGATGATACATGATGTGAATAGGAGCTACAGAAATAAACTGAATAGAATTGAAGTTTAATCTAAAACCTGGTTCCAGATTCTAGCTCTATTTGAACTAAACCTTCTGTTTTAAACGTCTTTGTTTCGTTTCATTCTCAATTTCCTGCTAAACAGACCCACACATCTCTGCATCACCAATTCTAAACAATTCTGATAGTTGCACAAAAACTCGATACCTAAACCATTTTTCATTTTCAAATGGAAATGAATCATTAAGTATAAGGAGGAATTTTTCTCCAAACTAAAAACGATTTGATTTAAAATCAGTACTTTTTAATCCAGTTTGATCTAACTGGATTGCTGGTATTAAAAACATTTTTTCTGCTCTTTCCTGAATAACGACAAATACAAATGTCAGTCACTTCATACAATTCAATTAATAAAATCAGAGATCAAGTTTGATCTTTGATTTTATAAATTGATCTTAATGTGAATCAATTCAGAATTTTTTAATTTTTATTTTTGCAGTGGCAATCAGCAAAAATGGCTTTTTAAACAAAAAACTTTTTTTATATAGTTGGTGAAGTTGAACTTATAGAGATTAGATTGAATTTAATCTTCATCTGTTTTTGACATAAACCTTCAGGGTAGGGATGCACGATATCGGGATTTTGGCCGATATCCGATATGCCGATATTTTAAAATTCCTGTAGCCGATAACCGATATCGATACCGATGTTAAAGCTGGACAAAAATAAGTAGTCATTGAAAATAGCAGTTTTGTTATCCATTTCTGACACTTTGAAAAATAATGAACTCAAATATATTTTCATATGCTGATATCAAATAGATTTTTAAAAACGCGGTATCGATCTATTTTACTTTCAAAATCTCGTGAAATTTCATCGTTCTGTTACAAACTCTCGTGATATTTTGCAAATTATTGTGAGATTTTGTTAGTAAAATAGATCGATACGCGTCAATATATCAACATATAAAAATATGGCAAAATTTCGTGAATTTTCGGGGGATTTCGTAGCATAACGATGACATATAGCAATATTTCATTAGTAAAAGAGATTGATATGGTGTTTTTAAATGGCAATATATCAGCATATGAAGATATTGGGATATTTTATTGTATCAATATTTTTTCCCTCGTCTTTAGAAGTTTTTAAGTCTGTAAAAAGGAAGTTTTTGAGGAAGAAGAAGTAGTATTTTTTTTTTTTTTTTAGACTTTAGAAACTCAGAAGCTGATCAAATATCGGGTTAAATATCGGTGGGGTGGCCGATGTCCGATATTCAGTTTTAAGGCCGATACCGATAGGGGGCTGATTATATCGTGCATCCCTAACAGAAATAGTTTCTAAAGGAGACATAATGGAACCATTTTTCAATAAAGCTCCCCTTATAGAAAACTAAGATATAGATTAAAAATATGTTCACCTGTAAACTCTTTATATCTCATTTAAAACTGTTTATTAAGCATTTAACTTATGATGAATCCTAGAAATTGTGTTGAATAATGATTGTGCTTAATTCAATTCTATTCAGTTTATTTCTATAGCTCCAATTCACATCATGTCATCTCAGGTCACTTTATAGAGACAATTCAACCAGATCATCCAGTCAGATTGATTCAAAGTTTTCTATCTAAGGAAAACCAGCTGATTGCATCGACTCATTGACTCTTCAGCAATCCCTCACACTAAGCATGCTTGTAGCGACAGTGGAGAGGAAAAACTCCCTTTGAACAGGAAGAAACCTCCAGCAGAACCAGGCTCAGTGTGAGCGGCCATCTGCTGAGGCCCACTGGGGTTCAAGGAGACAGAAGCAGACATAGAAAAAGAAGCATAGAAGCAAGCTCCAACATCTAGAAACAAAGGTGTTAATGGCAGCAGCACAGCTGATATTTCTCTCCAGGATGGAGTCACAGCCAAACAGCTTCATTTCATCAGATCAGGTAAGGAGTTATTAATGCAGTCTAAGGTTGATGGTTGATAGAAACATGTGAGCCGGTCTCACCTCTCCCACATACTCCATGACAAACGTGTTCTTCCTGATGTGCTGCAGAGTACGCACGCCCCAGCCCCGGCCGTTCTCCGTCTTAAAGATGCAAAGGTCGAACTGGATCCCTTTCTGCACCACCCTGTTGGAGCAGTCAGGCCCACAGTTGCATCTGGAGTTACACTCGTATATGGGCTGTCCTGGCCGGATGCGAACCTGACCCTTGTCATTGTAGGCCATCCGATGCAGCGAAGCCCCGGGGCAGCAACCGTTCACCGGCTCCTTTAAACAGTCTTTGCATTCACAGCCAACGGCCATCTCATTCAGCACAATGCCGGGGCCCACTTTGTAGTTGTTAATGTAGGTGAAGTGTTTGGGAGGGCCGTCCAGGTCCACCTCGTTTGTGACGAAGATGCGCCCGGGGTGATTGCGAGTCTTGTTTAAATGGTCTTGCCATCGCTGGAGACTCTGGCGATGTTTGGCTTTCTGAACTAACATCAGAGTGACGTCTCGGTCCAACCTTTTGGGGATGCTGCGCTTCCTCAGGCTCTTCAGAACCTGATCCAGGTCCAAGTGGAACAGTTTCATCAGCTTTGGACATTTGAGGTTCCTTTTGGGTTCCCACGTATTATCGGATTCAGGGAAGCCTTTCCATTTAACAAAGTAGAACTCTTCTCCCTGAAAAACAAACAAAACATCTTCAGCGTTTCTTCCCTCAGTCAGACCCTAGCATTCCCCACATGGTCCTTAAACAGAGACGCTTCACATCGTTCCCAATCTGAAGTAGAAATTTTGGTTTATTTACTTCACTGGTTTCCATCTGCAGGCCTCAAAATATTCCATCCTGCAACCTTTAGGTACGATCCTGCTGCAACTCAGCTGAATAAAATGATTAATCCTCTCCACCTCATTCCACCTGGTTGGTTACAGACCTGGAAATTCTATTCAGTTTATTTCTATAGCGCCAATTTACATCATGTCATCTCAGGTCACTTTCCAGTTCACCAGATCATCCAGTCAGATTGATTCAAAGTTTTCTATCTAAGGAAAACCAGCTGATTGCATCGACTCATTGACTCTTCAGCAATCCCTCACACTAAGCATGCTTGTAGCGACAGTGGAGAGGAAAAACTCCCTTTGAACAGGAAGAAACCTCCAGCAGAACCAGGCTCAGTGTGAGCGGCCATCTGCTGAGGCCCACTGGGGTTCAAGGAGACAGAAGCAGACATAGAAAAAGAAGCATAGATACAAAAGGCAACTGTCAACCAGCTCCACAGGCGGCCCCGTCCAGGAAACACACAGCCAGGCAGACGAGCTCCGAGCCAGCTCCCATGTGAGAGGATGAAGAGAGCACATCCAGTTAGTCACAGTCAGAGAAACAGGACTACACTGGAAAACAGGCCGAGCTCCAACATCTAGAAACAAAGGTGTTGATGGCAGCAGCACAGCTGATATTTCTCTCCAGGATGGAGTCACAGCCAAACAGGAACAGACCAGATGAAGCTACTATGAGAAAAAGCAGAGAGAGCAGAATGTTAGAGATCGAACTAACAGATTCTGTAGAGTGGGAGAATAGAGATAGAATGAAGCAGAATGATGGAAAAGGGGTCCCTATGTCGTCCAGCAGTCTAAGCCTATAGCAGCATAACTAGAGAGATAGCTCAGGATAACCTGAGCCACTCTAACTAGAAGCTTTATCAAAAAGGAAAGTTTTAAGCCTAGCCTTAAAAGTAGACAGGGTGTCTGCCTCACGGACTAAAACTGGTAGTTGGTTCCACAGGAGAGGAGCCTGAGAACTAAAAGATCTGCCTCCCATTCTACTTTTAGAAATTCTAGGAACCACTAGTAAACCTGCAGATTGAGAGCGAAGTGCTCTGTTAGGAACATAAGGAACAATCAGATCTCTGATACAGTGGGGGAAATAAGTATTTGAACCCTTTGCTGATTTTGCAGGTTTGCCCACTTACAAAGAATGCAACAATCTACAATTTTAATCATATGTACATTCTAACAGAATCCCAAAGAAAATTCCAGAAATTCACATCATATGAATTTATTAAAATTGATAATCATCTGATGAGGAAAAACAAGTATTTGACCCCCTGGACAAACAGCAAGTATTCTGGCTCCTACAAGCCAGTTAGACTTTTTTTTAAGACACAGCCTCAATCCCAACCAATTATCTAGATCAAATACACCTGCCTCACCTCATTACCTGAATAAAAGACACCTGTCAACACCCAAACAACCAGCATCCCATATCACCACCATGGGCAAGACCAAAGAGCTTTCTACGGACATCAGGGACAAGATTGTTGATCTGCACGAGGCTGGGATGGGCTACAAGAGAATCAGAAACAACTTGGAGAGAAAAGATCAACTGTCGGTGCAGTTATCAGGAAATGGAAGAAGCACCGCACCACAGCCAACCTCCCTGGGTCTGGGCCTCCACACAAGATCTCGCCTGGTGGGGTGTCCCTGATCATGCGAACGGTGAGGAATCATCCCAAAACCAGAAGGGGGGAACTGATGAATCAACTGGAGGCAGCTGGGACCACAATTACAAAAGGAACGGTTGGTAACACACTACACCGTCATGGATTGAAATCCTGCAGCGCACACAAGGTTCCCCTGCTCAAGAAGAAACATGTACAGGCCCACATGAAGGTCGCCATTCACCACCTGGACGACTCAGAAGAGGCGTGGAAGAAGGTGATGTGGTCAGATGAGACCAAAATAGAACTTTATGGCCTCAACTCGTCGTGTTTGGAGGGCAAAGAACGCAGAGTACAACCCAAAGAACACCATCCCCACCGTCAAGCATGGTGGTGGCAACATCATGCTTTGGGGGTGCTTTTCAGCCAAGGGGACGGAACAACTCCACGGTATTGAGGGGAGGATGGACAGGGCAATGTATGGTGGAATTCTGGACCAACATCTCCTTCCCTCAGTGAGAGAGCTGAAGATGGGTGGAGGATGGGTGTTTCAGCACCACAACGACCGTAAGCACTCCGCCAAAGCAACAAAAGAGTGGCTGAAGAAGAAGCACATCAAGGTTCTGGAGTGGCCTAGCCAGTCTCCAAACCTGAATCCAATTGAAAATCTTTGGAGGGAGCTTAAAATTCCAGTTGCCAGGCGACAACCTCAGAACCTGAACGATTTGGAGGCTGTCTGCAGGGAGGAGTGGGCCAAAATCCCTGCCGAAATGTGCACAAACCTTGTCACCAATTATAAAAAAACGTTTGACATCTGTGCTGGCCAATAATGGCTTTTCTACAAAATATTAACATGCTGTTTGTCCAGGGGGTCAAATACTTTTCCTCATCAGATGGTTATCAGTTTTAATAAATTCATATGACGTGAATTTCTGGAATTTTCTTTGGGATTCTTTTGGAATGTACATATGACTAAAATTATAAATCGTTGCATTCTTTGTAAGTGGGCAAACCTGCAAAATCAGAAAGGGGTCAAATACTTATTTCCCCCACTGTATCAGATGGAGCTTGGCCATTCAAGGCTTTATATGTGAGAAGGAGGATTTTAAATTCTATTCTGGATTTAACAGGAAGCCAATGAAGAGAAGCCAGGATAGGAGAGATATGATCTGAATGTTTCCCTTTGGAGAAAAAAAAATGGGTACCTTGATCTTCTTATAGTCGCAGAGAAACTCCACTTCATATTCATTGACATTTGCTCTGTTGATGTTCAGCTCTGTGCAGTAGAGCCTCTCCCCGCGGCAAAGAGCCTCCAGCTCATCCCAGGCCACCTTACAGGGAACACAGCACTCTGCAAATCACAAACATGGATTCAAATGTCGACATATAGAGATATATTAGAATTACAATTAAACATGATTTATTAGGTACTGAATTAACTGCCATCTGATTGGTAATCAAATCCAGTCCCAACCCACATCATTAGTAAAACAGGCCAATCAACTACTTAGAGAATTAATTTAGACAAAAGACTCAAAAAAAAAAAAAAAAATTAAGACATTTTTTCTATATAAATGGTTTTTACGTGTTTGCCAGTAACACTTTAGGTAAACAATCTTTTCAATTCACAAAGTTTAAATGTTTACTAAAATGACCTTTTAAGTTTAGATAAAATGTTTAATCGCTGCAGGCAGATTTTTAATAGAAAAAAGAAGATTTCTAGGATCAATAAAGATCTGCTGGATGTTTGAAGGAGAGATTTAGAAGAAGATGGAGGAAACTTATAAAATATATGAAGGTTTAATGATCAGTTTAATGATTATGGAATATTAAATCAAAGGTTTAATGATCACAGATGAATGATTATTGAATTAAGCTGCTTCGCGCGTTTTAATCTCAGACCTTCCTCCATCCATCATAATCTTCCTCACTCATGATCTCCACCAGCAGCAATAATCCCCATAAATCCCACATTTAAACCGGATCGTAAGGAAACGTGGCGATAGTTTTATGCTTTAGGAGCAAACAGGAAGGCTACGCTCAGCAGCCATTCAACATGGAGAGCAGCATAAAAACAAACATTTCACGGTCTGAGCGAACTAAACCATCCACATTAAAATTAAAAGACTTTCTTTATTTCATTACCTTTCAAACTTTCCGCCATATTTTCCGCATAACCGCCAAAATACTGTAGAGCTCCGCTGGCTGTAGCTCAGCCCCCAGCCGCAGCTCTTACCTGCTCCTGATTGGACGATTCCTGCCTCTCTGCCGCCTCATTGGCTCCTCAGCAGGAAGGCGGAAGAGACGCGCTGCTATTGGCTGGTTCGAGCTAAACGAAGCAAAGGGTGGCCGCTTATTGGTCAAATTGCTGCAGCTCCATTGCGCAGCAGCGGAAGTCAGACTTTTGTTTTATTAATCTTTTTTATTATAACCATCATATAGAGCAGACACGGTATCAGCATCAGATTATATAAACCTGTAAAACCAGATTTACAGGAAGGACAAACAGAGCAAACCAAACATTAGGGGCCTCTCATCAGTTCCACATTGTTTATCATATTAAACACATTTTAGAGATAAGAAGAGGTGGAAAAAAAGAAGAGCTAAAAGATGGTTTGACTTTTGGAAAACTTGCCCATGATGATTATTGCATTTAATAGTCATTAAAATTTATTTTCTCAGAGTCCCAAAAATTATGTTAGAAAATTCAGGAAAGTTTAGGGAAAAAACAGTAGTGCACATCATCCTACAAAGCTTTACAATATTTATAGAAAAGCTGTTCAGTTGACTCAAAATCACTTTCACTAATTGAATGTCTTCATTAATAGCAAATCAAATTCCAAGAAATTCCTTAGAGGTAAAAACATCTAAGGAGATTTTAAAGTGGACTTCCTCGGGTTTAGGAGAAACAGAAAGATTTAAATAATTTGTTCTAATTCTTTTCCTTTCTGTCTTTGAGAAGAAATGCTATATAAAATTTGGACTTGATACAAATTTATTATCAGTGATACTGTGCCCAATAATCTGAAGTCCAGGAAGTCACAGGTCTTCTGTTAACAGGGTTCTCATAAAAACATTTAACCGTGCATAAAATATTTGGGCAAATAGCTCTAATAATTCTTGGAAAAATCACTTTTAGTTATTTGGAGGTTATATTTAATACTGAAGTCTTCATAAGACATAATCCCTCCATCATTTAATAAATGCATCACAGATCAAACACCTTTTCCAGCCAATTACATGCAAAGATTGATTTAAGTCAGAGCAGACTAGTAGACTGATTTTTATTGATTTTTTTTTTTTTTTTACGCTGTTCCTTCTAGTGGTTAAATGTTGACAGCTTCTGGATTTCGGGATGAAAAGCTATTTTTGACCCATTTCTACTGTTAAATAATTAGTTTTAAAAAACGGGAATCAGAAAGCCTGCTGTATTTTTCTTCTACATTATATTTGATCATATTTGTTGGAAAAGTGTTTGGTTGTTACCTTAAGACTTTCTGATCACAAATAAGAGTAAAGAACTTTGTTTTTTCCATGTAAGAAGCTTTTTTAAATTAAATATAAACAAGAGCCAAATTTTATAACCAAAAAAAATATTTTATGCCTAATCATCTTTGTACAATTCTGTATTATAATTGCTTCACAACAGAATTAATGGAGGGAGATTTTCCAGAGGTTCTGAGTTCGAGTCCCACTCCCTCAAGTCCCCGAGCAAGATACTTAACCCTTTCATGCATGAATTACGATAGTTTATGTTATGATTTTTTTACCAAGTGTTTTTATTACTCTTTATGAATGAAAAAAACATTTTCATAAATTTTTAAAAAAAATATACTTTCTTTAGGGAGTTGGTAACATGTCCACTTGGGTGGACAATGCGCATTTGTGCAACTGATATAACCTTGTTTTGTTTTGTTTCAAAGAAAACTATTGTTACTTGATGGCCCCATATTTTTTTTACCTGCAAGGATTGCCTAGAATAGAAGGAATGAGCAGATATTCCTCTCCCTCACAACCCATGTGCTCCTCTGTCAGCCATTTTGTTTTTTTTGAGGAAAAAAAAGTCACTTGCAAAGGCTGAGGAGTAGGTGGCAGTTTGACAAGTGGCAGGATGATACATTAGCGTCCACTGTAGTAACATATGTGCAAATGTGACATTAAAACATGTTCATTTAAGAGAAAACAACCATTTAATAACTGTCCACTGTAGTGACCACTATGCATGAAAGGGTTAACCCCACACTGCTCCCGGGGCGCCGCACCATGGCAGCCCACTGCTCCCCAAAGGGAGGGGTTAAAAGCAGAGAGGGAATTTCGCTGCTCTGTGGTTCTGACAGTAGAATGACATTAAAGAAAAAGCTAAAGCCAGGCAACAGCAACGCTTTTTAGCAGTTTTAGTGAATCCCAGCAGTTTGCTTATTTATATCAGCTACATTTAGGAGATTAATGACATCAGAGAGACAGGAGGCCAGATTGTTAATGAAATAAAGGACATCATTAAATGTGAAAGAATGAATCGAAAGAATATAAATCAGACCAAACTATAAATATCAAACAAAAAAAACATTTGAAAACTTGGGAGCAGCAACATTAAAAGCTCTGTTCTAGGATCAGGCGATCAACCGTCCCGAGGAAACGATCAGGAGAGGGTAGGAGCTCAGCTAGCTAATATGGGACATCAACATCTAAAGTATTAAAACAAATAAAGGAACCTTAAAATGAACAGAACTGGGGGCCAGAGGAGGTAAGCCAAGAGAGGAGCAATGTCCTCTCTGCTTTACGACTCCTGCTGAAAGACGTCAAGAGTCCAACGTCAGGCAGTAGTTTAGCTGAGCTGCAATAAAGGAAAGAATTCCTGTTTCACAAGATTTGGCTTCATCTTTGGCAACTGTCTAAGGAAATACAATTGGACAAAATGCAAGCTAGTATTTCCTGCCTCTACAAACTCACCAAGGAGGAGATCCTAGAAAGTCAATGAATGGATGAAATCAGCTGGATTTATCTGTGAAGGGATTGGACCATGAGCAGATCTGGTAAAGAGCATCCTTCCTCTTCCACACCATCACAGGATGCTTTAATCACTGCATCCTTTTCCTCTGAATTAAGCCTGAAATAAGCTGCTTTCTATAAAACTATCCATCCATTTTCTAATACGCTTATTCCAAGCGGGGTCGCGAGGGCTGCTGGTCCCCATCACTAGCTGTCAAGGGGCGAGAGGCGGGGTCCACCCTGGACAGGTGGACGGTCCATCGCAGGGCAACACAAGCAGGACAAACAACCATTCATGCACACACTCACTTCTATAAAACTATTAAAAGATGAAGTAACTGGGTTAAAGTAACAAGATTTAAAGAGACATGTGACTAAAATACTGTCCTCATCTCTGCACTTTATCAGCAATAAACTAGAACCTCAGATATTTGCTCCACTTCAGGCAGAGTTGACTCCTTGTAGAAGATCTGGAGGGAGATCAAGGAGGAGCAGCAGATATACATTTGTTGCAAAGCGTGTCCCAGATGGAGCCATTTACATCAAAAAGCTAAAATAATCGACTACTTTAACTATTTGTTGGAAGCAAGGAGAAAATCAAGCTATATCTTCCATCAATTATAAAAGGCAATTCAGAAGAACAGCCAAGTCAAGCCATATAATGGGTTTACTGGTACATGGTTTGCACCAGTAAACCAACCCCAGTAACTCCAGTCTGCTGGGTTTTCTGATTATACAAGCAGAGGGCTGCAGAAAAACAAAGGAGGCGGATTAGCAGATGTTATATATGGATGATTTCAGTCTATGAAAGTATTCTAATGATAAAAAGTCCCTTTCAGTAAAGAAGCAGGAATATCTGGAGATGTTAGCAACCAGTTTAAACCTCACAGGAAGCTATTTTAGCTCATCAAATGCTACTGATGGGGTCAAATTCCAGTTTAGTGGTCTGAAAAAAAAAGCAGATAAAGTTAAACAGAACTATAAAACTTCAGCATAAAACCAGTTTTTAGTGATTCTTTCTGTTCATTAGATGTTTACTGCTTCAATCCCACGCTCACAGATTAGGAAATATCTCCCAGAAGTCTCAGTGGAAACATTTTATTAGAAAAACAGTTTTATTGTTGCAGCATCATTTCACTGAATCAAACGGTAGAAAACCCAAGAAGCGAAAATGACCCAGTGGCCGGCCCAGTTCAGTTCAGACCATCTCTGTATGGTGTGGAGGGCCGCGTAACCCTGGAAACAGAGAAATAACCAAATGATGTTTGCTGCCAGGAGCCCAAACTGAAACCAGACTGCAGAGTTAATCACATTTTTCAATTAGTCTCAGAAAAAACAGAAATCACTGAAAACAATACAGCAAAGTTAGAAATAAAGCAGGTAGATTTACTCTGCTTCTTTTCAAAAAACAGATTTGATTTATTTCTAATAAAAACTCTAATAAATGCCAGAACAACAACCCTTCTCATAAAAATAAAATCCCTTTAAAGTCACAACTAAAATGTTTAAATGTTCTGAAGTGAAAAGCTTAAAGACTAGATCAGCATTTTTCTTGGATCAAGTTAACTTATCATGCTTCCCCTCTAAGATTAAAATATAACCCAGATTAAAATAATCCCGCTTTGCAGCTCATTTCTTCATACAGTCAGACATCTCTTAGTATGAGTTTCCTGTTTAGGCTTGGAGAGGATCTTATCTGGAAATGATGAAACTACAGCGCCACCATCAGGTTTCCATAGCAACACAGAAGATGCGTTTACCTCTTCTACTTCCTGTTCATCTGATCCAGGATCAAACATGGAGCCCAAGTAGGCGAGATGGAAGACCACCATCAGGCTGAAAACCAGGTTCAGCAGCAGAACCCAAACATTCTGAGAAGAAAAACAAAGTTTAAAGCGAATCAGAAGCGTTTATAAAGTCGGTGTTCGACTGATTAATAAACCTCAGAAAGGCAACAGACATCATCGATTCACAAAAAGAAGCAAAAAGAAGGAGAATCAGAAACATCTAGAAGATCTTTCATCAATAGCTCAGCGTTGGTTCTGGTATTAATGTGTTGGAGCAGTTTTCCATCTACTGGTGACAGAAATAAATTACTAACGTTCATTTTCTAGCTGCTCTGCAGCTTCCTGCTCCTATTAATTATTTCTCTTCATGAGCTCTGATCTTGGAGGATGGAACTCCTTACCATGACCTGAACTTTAGCTGCCTCAACAGGCTCTATCAGATTAAATAGAGATTATTGATGAAGTTATTTCCATCAGAGAAGCTGATTGAGAAGCAATTCTTCAATCTTTCTTGGCTTTGGAGCAGAGCAGAGCTTTAGGTCTACCTTCTTGTGTCGATGGCTGCAGTCTGAGGCACAGGGTCTGGACAGGATGCAGGCATTAAGGATGAAGGCCATCCTCTTCCTCAGCACTGATTACATGCAAAAGATGGAGACAATAATTCATCAATCGACATGCACCAAGGATAACCCAATAGGAGAGACAATTTACCTTATTTATATGTATATTTTTATTTAGTATTTGCTGTATTAAAATCAAGCAGCTTTCTTTAGATATCTCCTCCTGCTTTAGTTACCAATTTATTTAGAAACTCGTCTGTTATTCGCTCTATGTTTTTATTTCTGTGGCAGGCAGCGACTGATTTACACTGAAGGTGGATTACAGGCCGACGGTCAGGCATAAATATTTACCAGCAGGAGAACAGCCTCCATGTTTCAGATACACTTCCAAGAAGGTATTTGTGAAAATTGTACAAATATTCAAACATTTATGCCGCCTGAATGAATCATTTCCTGTGTGATTTAAACATTCAATGATTTATCTCTAATGACACATAAACTCCTGGATGACTGCAGGGATAAATTCTATATTTGTCGGATTTAATTTCAGTATTTTGATGCAAAGAATTAACTTCTATTTTTTTCCCGGTAGTTTATGATTAATATACTAACAATTTATTTAATATTTTTGAGCTTTCTATTGGAGAGCGTCGCTGCTGCCACCTACTGGCCCATAAAGGCGGGTTCGGCCCTGCAGCCATCACAGCGTACCGTGTTCCACGTAGGTGATGAATCCCAGCGTGAGCAGAACAGCTCCCAGGTGAAAACTCAGACCCTGAAGAAGATTCAAAAACCAGCTTCAGTCCAAACAGCCTTTAAATCAACAAAACAGCTTAAAAACCTTAAAGACATTCACAAGAGAAACGTTAAACTCTCAACCAAAAAAGTTCCTCAGTTAATTAGTAAAATATAAACGTTATCCTCCCACTCAGCACCAATCACACACACACACACACACACACAAGAAAGTTTTTCTATCTTTGTGGGGACCTTCAATTGACTTCCATTCCTTCTAACTTGACTTCCTAATCCTACACCTAACCATTAAATGTTCATACCTAAGCCTAACCCTAATCCTAATCCTTATCCTAACCGAAACTCAATTCTCACCTTACTCCTAGACACCTAAGCCTAAAACAGCTTTTGAACCAATGTGGACCAGACATTGGTCCCCACTAGAGTCCCCATGATGTCATAAGGTTTATGGAAAATGGTCCCCACCATGTAATAAATACATGCCCACACATTACTCACACACCCAAGTTTGTATTTCTATCCGTATTAAGACATTGACTTACATTCATTTTACTTACTGCATTTAAGCCCAACCATTATCAAAGAAGCAAAATGGATCATCTCCGACTGGAACTGTCATCAAAGAAGGAGATTAGTAACTGCTGCTAACCTGGAGGGGCTAACGCTGTACCGCACCGATAGGAAGATAATAACTAAGCGGTAAGACTCTGTGTTTATATCAACAACAATTGGTGTAAAAATGCTGGATCAGCCGCCAGCTTCTGCTCTCCTGACATCGAGTTTCTGACTGTTAACTGCAGGCCGTTCTATCTGCCCAGAGAGTTCAGTGTGGTTAGCATCACTGCTGTTTATGTGCCCCCCCAGCGCTAACACTGAAGAGGCCATGAAGACTCTATACCAGGCTATCTCTGAGCTCCAATCTGCACACAGAGGCTGTTTTCATCATTGCTGGGGATTTTAACCAGGCTAACTTGAAGACTGTCCTCCCTCATTTTTACCAACATGTGGACTTTGCAAGTCAGGGTGAAAATATGTTAGACCTGGTTTACTCTAACATCAAAGATGCATTTAGAGCAGCCCCCCTACCCCCACCTCGGTTCATCAGATCACCTCTCAGTCGTGCTTATCCCTGCATATAAGCCCCAGCTGATCAGGGCTAAACCGACAGTTAAAGAGGTCAGAGTGTGGTCTAAGGGCGCCATGGAGACACTCCATGACTGTTTTGAATGGAATGCTCTGACTGGAACATCTTCAAGGCTGCAGCAACATATGACAACTTATTAAATATAGATGAGTATGCCATGACTGTGTCAAACTACATCAACAAATACATTGAGGATGTCAGCATCAAAAACAACATCACCACCCGGGCCAACCAACCACCCTGAATAAATGGAGAGGTTCGGAAATTGCTAAAAGCACCGAAATCAGCTTTCACGTCTGGTGATAAAGAGGCACTAAGAACAGCGCGTGGCGACTTAAACCTTGTCATCAGATCAGTGAAGCAGAACCACAGCCAGAAAATCCAGGATGTTTTCCACGACGACAGCAACACCAGGAGGATGTGGAAAGGCATTCGGATGATCAAACTACAACACACCCTCCCCCCTGGTAGATGCAGCAAACACTGACTTCATAAATAAACTAAACAACTTCTTAGGAAGGTTTGAGGCACTAAACAGCCTCCAGCAGTGAAAGCTGTTCCACACCAGGGGGAGGAGCCACTAAACCTGGACGTAGCTGAAGTGAGGAAAACTCTGAGGAGAGTCAATCCAAGGAAGGCCCCAGGGCCTGATAACTAACCTGGGCAGGTGTATAAGGAGTGTGCAGATCAGCTGGCTGGACCAATCCATAGTGCCAGCATGCTTCAAGTCTGCCTCCATTATTCCAGTCCCAAAGAAGCCTCAGGTCACCTCCCTCAATGATTAGCGGCCTGTCGCTCTGACTCCCATCATGATGAAGTGCTTCCAAAGGCTGGTTAAAGAACACATCGTCTCCAGTCTGCTGCCAACATTCCACCCGTTCCAGTTCGCCTACCAATCGAACCGCTCCACTGAGAACGCCATCTCTGCTGCTCTCCACCTGAGCCTGGCACACCTGGAGGAGAAGAACACCCACGTGCGGATGCTGTTCCTGGACTTCAGTTCAGCTTTCAACACCATCATCCCACAGCATCTGATGGGCAAACTGGAACAGCTGGGCTTCAATACACCCCTCTGCTATTGGCTGCTAGACTTCCTCACCAACAGACCTCAGTCAGTCCGGGTCGGACAGAACGCCTCTGATGTCATCAGTCTAAGCCCCTCCCCTCAGGGCTGCGTCCTGAGCCCCCTGCTGTTCACCCTGATGACACACGACTGCGTCCCCAGGTTCACCACCAATCACATGGTGAAGTTTGCAGACGACACCACGGTGGTGGGCCTCATCAGAGACGACAACGACCTGGACTACAGAGAGGAGGTGGAGCAGCTGGTGGAGCAGAGATAACATCCTGATCCTGAAGGTGGAGAAGACCAAGGAGATCATGGTGGACTTCAGGAAGAAGCGGCCTAACCACGCTCCACTGCTCATGAACAGCTCAGCTGTAGAGGTGGTCAGCAGCACCACATTCATCACAGACACCCTCACCTGGACTGGAAACACCACCTCACTGGTCCAAAGGGCCCAGAAGCGCTTGGACTTCCTGCGGAGGATGAGGAGAGCCACCCCCCCCCCATCCTCCCCACCTTCTCCAGAAGCACCATAGCGAGCGTTCTGAGCAGCTGTCTCACTGTGTGGTGTGGAGGCTGCAGCGCCTCAGACTGGAAGAAGGTGAGAACAGCAGAGAGGATCATGGGGGCTCCTCTTCCCTCCATTAAAGACATTTCATCCCAGCGCTGCGTGTCCCGAGCCCGTGACATCATCAATGACCCCTCATCCCCCCACCATGGACTGTTCTCCCTGCTGCCCTCTGGGAAGAGGCCAGAGATGGGAAGTAACGAAGTACAAATACTTTGTTACTGTACTCAAGTAGATTTTTCTGATATTTTTACTTTACTTTACTACTTATTTTTATGGCGACTTTTTACTTCTACTCCTTACATTTTAAAAAATTGGCTCGTTACTTCAGTTTTGAATCATTTCAATGGAGTTACCGTTATTATTTTTCACGTCATCAATACCAAATTCAATCTAATTGGATGGGAATCTACGTTGCATTTGACGCACCACTACAAGATGAATCCACAGATTCGGCGGTATTCATTGGCGGCAAATCATTGCAGCTTGGTGGCGGTGGCGTTAGCATAGTAGCATGGACGACGAGATGATTGGAAATGAACACAACGGAGATCTAGTCCTATTGGCAGACATCCATTTAAAATGTAGGCAACGGCATGAAAAAAGTGGTTTCTACTTTTACTTTTATACTTTAAGTAAATTTACAAGGAATGTACTTTGTTACTTTTACTTGAGTAAAGAAGTTTAATCAGTACTTTCACTTTTACCGGAGTATTTTTTAACACAAGTATCTGTACTTTTACTCAAGTACGGAAAGTGAGTACTTTGCCATCTCTGGAAGAGGCTTCACAGCATTCAATGCAGGACCAGCAGGTTCTGCAGCAGCTTCTTCCCCACCGCCATTAGACTGCTAATAATGTATTTATTATTGTTTTCAAGGCTGCACTTCAAAAAATGATATTGTCTAGAGCTGTTTCAAACTAAATTTCTTTTTGCATACACTCATCTTTACAAAATGACAAAATAAATCTGTCATATTCTATCAGTATAACCCAACCCCACATTAGGACCAGCCTTTGGTCCCCATGAGGCCTGTTGGTCCTCAGAAGGTCAGCAAATATACCAAAAACGGTCCTAAATAGGTCACATATACAAGTACACACACACATCTACACACAGGTGGAGGAATGAGACGAGCTACAGGCGGACCAGACCGGACAGAGAAGCAGGCTAAAGTTCACTGACATGCAGCAGGGCGCTGGCCGTGTAGGTCACCAGGATCGCTGGGAACGTCCCCAGCTTCATGGAGGTTTTAAACACATCTGAGGGAGACAGAGGAGAGATCATCCATGCGCTGTAAAACAGGTGAAGTTCTCCATCATACAGGTCTGGATGCTGGACTCACAGCTCTTTAACCACTGGGACATGGGGATGTTCCAGGAGACCACCACCAGCACCATGGAGCGAGGCATCTCCACGCTGAGAGGCTTCACCACGCTCATATCCCTGAACACACAGCAGAGCGTCGTCACGGTTTCACCGACAGCTGGGCGGGTCCAGCGGCAGAACCTACCAGTGGACTTTGTCTTTCTCCTCAGTGAATCCTGCTCCAGCCAACATGCTGGTGCCTTCACTCAGATGACCCACGAAGTAATTACTGAAGTGGAAGGACACGGCGTTCTCGTAGGCCCGCAGCCATCTGCACAGCAAAGCAGAGGCTCCAGTCAGCAGCTGACCTTCATCTTCCTCCTCTTCTTCAGTGTCAAACTCTCATAACTTCAACAGAAGGTCAGAGACTCTTCTACTGAAAAAACAGCAGCTGGGAAAAAATGATCCCGTCGGAAATTAAGTCGTGACAGTGAGGAAAATAAGTATGCGCTATTTTCTAAGTTCTTCCACTTAGAAATCATGGAGGTTCTGAAATTATCATGGGAAGTTCATATCCACTGTGAGAGAAATTATCTTAAAAAAATACAGGAATCACAATCTATGATTTTTTAAAATATTTATCTGTACCCTTTCTATCAGCTAGAACCTTGACCCTGTTAGTCTGCCTTCAAAATGTCCGCCTCCATCTATTCTCCTAAACTAGATGCACCACTCTGAGGTGGTTAGCTGCATAAAGACACCTGTCCAGACAATCAGGAAGAATGCAACTACTAACAAGACCCAGACCAAAGACACCAGAGACTAAACTGTCCACCTCCACCAGGCTGGAGAGGGCAACAGGGAAATAACCAGCAGCTTGGTGGAAAAAGCTCCACTGAAAATGGAAGAAGCTAAACATGGCTGTCAGTCTCCCTCAGGCTGGGGCTCCATGCAGGATCTCACCTGGTGGGATCTCAATGATCCTAAGAAAGGTGAGAAATCAGCCCAGAACTAGACAGGAGAAGCTGGGACCACCATTTCCATGGTTACGGTTGAAAATACATGGTTTGGAAATCATGCATGGAACGGAAGGTTCCCCAGCTTTAACCAGCACCTGTCAAGGCCCATCTGCTGTTAATACGCAACTGGATGATCCAGAGGAGTCATGGGAGAAAGTCATGAGACCAAAATAGAATTTTATGGTCATAACTCCACTAGCCATAGAAGAAGAATGATGAGAACCATCCCAAGAACACCATCTCTACTGTGAAGCATGGTGGTGGTAGCATCATGCTGTGGCTGTGTTTTTCTGCACATGGGACAGGGTGACTGTATTAGGAGAGGATGAGCGGGGCCATGTACTGGTAGATTCTGGGGAACAACCTCCTTCCCTCAATTAGAGCAGTGAAGATGGGTGGAGGCTGGGTCTTCCAGCATCACAATGAGCCGAAAAATACAGCCAGGATGACCAAGGAGTGGATCTGGAAGAAGTAGATCTAGGTTCTGGCATGGCCTAGACAGTCTCCATAACCCTAAACGCAATAGAGAATCTTTGTAGGGAGCGACAGCCATAAACCTGACTGATCTAGAGTAGATTTAGTGGAGGAGTGGGCCAAAATCCCTCCTGCAGTGCGAACCTGGTGAAAACCTACAGGAAATGTTTGACCTCTGGAAACAAAGGCTATTGGACCAAATATTAACCAAGATTTTCTTAAGTGTTCAAATACTTCTCTGTAGCTGGATCATACAAATAAACAGTTAAAATAAATCATATATTGTGATTTTTTCTTTTTTAGATTATGTCTCTCACAGTGGACATGAACCTACAGTGACAATTTCAGACCCTCCATGGTTTCTAAGTGGGAGAACTAATGTTATTTTCCTCGCTGTTAATCACTTAAGCAGTTGAATCCTTATTTAGTCCAATTAAAATGTTTTATTAGTGTTTCAACAGATGAGAGATTTTATATCTAAACCACAGCTGATCAGGTTTTCTGCTCCCAGGTTGGTTTAGAAAAAAATCAGGAAGTGGAAACAAGAAAAGCAGAAAATATTTTCAATATTAAACTTAAATTTTTAAAAGAAAAAAAGAATTTCTCTGTAATTCAGAGGAAGTTTGTCGGTGAAGGGAAACAGGAAGTGAAGCAGACTTCAGCAGCTGAAGGAGAAAAACAGGAGAGCCGTGTGAGAACATCACAGCCACAAAGACCAGGACGGCTGGAGGAGCAACGGAGAGGACAGATGACCTGAACCGGGTAAACCGGTTTGACAAGCCGATGAGCCACTGCTACACTGCTGCAGCAGCCATCTCCCCTTCTTCCCACATTTCACCCCCCCCCCCCCCCCCCCCCCCCCCCCCGTCCTCCTACTCTGCTCCTGAAGCACCACCTCAACACCTTCCCTGCCTCACATCGCCACAGACCAGGCCAGAGAACAGCTGAGGAGACTGCTACCCAGGAAAACGTCCACAGCTACTGAAAACCTGCGCTACTGAACCGTGGAAACCACTAGAACTGGTCTTCAACCTCAGCCTACCCTATGGAAGACATCCTGCATCACAGCGGCCCAGTGAGCTGAATGATTTCCATCACATCTGATGAAGACCATGGAGCGGCACCATCGGCCAGATGAGGAGCAGAGGATGGCGTCCTCTACCTACTACACAGAGTCCACTCCCACCTGGAGAAGGGAAGCAGCAAGGATTCTCTTCCTGGACTTCTCCAGCTCATCCAGCCCTCCCTGCTCAGACAATAACTGAATAGCCTGGGAGTGGACCCCTACGGGGGCCCTGGATCTCCAGCTACCTCACAGACAGGCCACAGTATGTCAGGCTGAAAGAAACCATCTCTGAAACTGTGGTCAGCAGCAGTGAAGCCCCCAGGGGCCCAGTGCTGGCTCCTGTCCTCTTCACCTTATACACCTCGGACTTCTGGTACACCTCTGAGCTGTGTCACATCCAGAAGTACACAGATGACTCAGCCATGGTGGGGTGCAGGGACCACAGAGAGGAGGAGGACAGGAGTCTGGTGGGGGACTAGGGGCCACCTGGTGCCGCATCAACCACCTGGAGCTTAACATCTCCAAGACGAAGGAGGTGGTCATAGACTGTGGGAGGAAAGGAGCAAAGACTAAGCCGGTACTGGTGGAGGGGGCTGAGGTGGAGGCTGTGGATTCATACCAATACCTTGGGATGTTGCTGGATAATAAACTGGACTGGTCAACACACACAACAACCACCTCCACAGGAAGACACAGAGCAGAATGGACTTCCTGAGGAGACTGAGGTCCTTCAACATCTGCAATAAGCTGTTGGAGATGTTCTACCAGTCTGTGGTTGCCAGTGTCCTCTTCTGCATCTCTGGACGCCTCCAGACTGGACAAACTGGTGAGGCCAGCCGGCTCTGTGATTGGCTAGAAGCTGGACCCTCTGGGGACGGTGGCAGGGACAAGGACACTTAAACTGCTGGACATTATGCACAATGCCAGCCACCCACTGCGCACTGTCTTCACCACTCAGAGGAGATTGCTGCTCCCTAAATGCAGGAGCAACAGACTGCTGAACTCCTTTGCTCCTCAGGCCATCAAGCTGTACAACTCCTCTTTTAAGATTGTCTGTTGTATTTGATCTTTAATGGCATCTTGCTTTAACTCTTTGTACTCAGCTGCTGGAACCAGAATCTCCATAAAGGAGTAATCCCAAGGGATTAATAAAGCTGAGTTTAAGTCTGAGTCTAAATTATAAGTGGAAAAAGACTACATGTTTAAACTTCATTCAGAGAGAATTCACCAGTGAAGAACTGAGCCAACATCTAAACCCTGACCAGTAGGAGGAGGAGGAGGAACCTTCATCATCTCAGGACAGCAGTGGCCTTCATGTCTAGAACAGCTCTGCTTACAGCTCTGGTTTCTGGTTGGTTCTGATCGGGACCAGAACATCTAACAAACAGCAGAGATGATCCTGAACCGTCCTGAACGTCGACCAGGATGCTTCAGAAAGTTCTCCACCATCATCTCCAAGAAGCTGACTGATTCCCGCCTGTCAGTCAACTCTTCTCTGTGAGCCAGCGGAGCTTCTGGTGGAGTAAGGAGGTTCACTAACAGAACCTCTGTCCCTGGGTGGTCCAGGAACAACTGGAGGTCCAGGTTCAGTGCATCTTCTGCTGACCTGTTAAAAAGGAGGTCCAGCTGTGGGTGAAACCTCACATGAGGAGGGAAGGAGGACTCCACCTACACATGGAGAGCTGCACAGCTTTACCCAGGAGGGGGGGCAGAAGGAGAATGTCCCGCCCCCTCCTTCACAATAAAACAGCAAACCAGCCTGGTGGCAAAGAGGAGAAGATCATCCCAAATGTCTGGGTTCCACTTCAACCTGCGCCAGGCGTCACGTTACAAACAAAGTCCTTCTTAATGTCTTTAAAAGCGCTGCTGATCTGGTCGATTAGAAAACTTTCAACTTTAAACTAAAACAGGAAATAAGCAGAAGTTATTTCCCATCTGCTGAAATATTTTCCTAAAGGTGATGAAGCAGCTCTGACCAATCAGAACAGGAAATAAAATAAAGCAATAAAAACATCAGCAGGTTAGCATAGCATGGCTAAAACCACTGTTAACCCTTCTATCTCACACTGCTAAGATAAACTGATTCCAACAATTTCAAAGAGGGCAGACGCAGCCGTCGTCAGTCTCTGCAGACGCAGCCGTCGTCAGTCTCTGCAGACGCAGCCGTCGTCAGTCTCTGCAGACGCAGCCGTCGTCAGTCTCTGCAGACGCAGCCGTCGTCAGTCTCTGCAGACGCAGCCGTCGTCAGTCTCTGCAGCACAGCCGTCGTCAGTCTCTGCAGCACAGCCGTCGTCAGTCTCTGCAGACGCAGCCGTCGTCAGTCTCTGCAGCACAGCCGTCGTCAGTCTCTGCAGCACAGCCGTCGTCAGTCTCTGCAGACGCAGCCGTCGTCAGTCTCTGCAGCACAGCCGTCGTCAGTCTCTGCAGCACAGCCGTCGTCAGTCTAGGCAGACGCAGCCGTCGTCAGTCTCTGCAGCACAGCCGTCGTCAGTCTCTGCAGCACAGCCGTCGTCAGTCTCTGCAGCACAGCCGTCGTCAGTCTAGGCAGACGCAGCCGTCGTCAGTCTCTGCAGACGCAGCCGTCGTCAGTCTCTGCAGACGCAGCCTCCGTCAGTCTCTGCAGACGCAGCCGTCGTCAGTCTAGGCAGATGCAGCCGTCGTCCGTCTAGGCAGACGCCGCTGTCGTCCGTCTAGGCAGACGCAGCCTTCGTCAGTCTCTGCATACGCAACCTTCGTCAGTCTAGGCAGACGCAGCCGTCGTCAGTCTGCAGACGCAGCCGTCGTCAGTCTGCAGACGCAGCCTCCGTCAGTCTCTGCAGACGCAGCTGTCGTCAGTCTCTGCAGACGCCGCCGTCGTCCGTCTAGGCAGACGCCGCCGTCATCAGGCTAGGCAGACGCCGCCATCGTCCGTCTAGGTAAAGGCTTCCGCCGCCCGTCCCTGCAGACGCCGCCGTCGTCCGTCTAGGCAGACGCCGCCGTCATCAGGCTAGGCAGACGCCGCCATCGTCAGTCTCTGCAGCACAGCCGTCGTCAGTCTCTGCAGCACAGCCGTCGTCAGTCTCTGCAGACGCAGCCGTCGTCAGTCTCTGCAGCACAGCCGTCGTCAGTCTCTGCAGCACAGCCGTCGTCAGTCTCTGCAGACGCAGCCGTCGTCAGTCTCTGCAGCACAGCCGTCGTCAGTCTCTGCAGACGCAGCCGTCGTCAGTCTCTGCAGCACAGCCGTCGTCAGTCTCTGCAGCACAGCCGTCGTCAGTCTAGGCAGACGCAGCCATCGTCAGTCTCTGCAGCACAGCCGTCGTCAGTCTCTGCAGCACAGCCGTCGTCAGTCTCTGCAGCACAGCCGTCGTCAGTCTAGGCAGACGCAGCCATCGTCAGTCTCTGCAGACGCAGCCGTCGTCAGTCTCTGCAGACGCAGCCTCCGTCAGTCTCTGCAGACGCAGCCGTCGTCAGTCTAGGCAGATGCAGCCGTCGTCCGTCTAGGCAGACGCCGCTGTCGTCCGTCTAGGCAGACGCAGCCTTCGTCAGTCTCTGCATACGCAACCTTCGTCAGTCTAGGCAGACGCAGCCGTCGTCAGTCTGCAGACGCAGCCGTCGTCAGTCTGCAGACGCAGCCTCCGTCAGTCTCTGCAGACGCAGCTGTCGTCAGTCTCTGCAGACGCCGCCGTCGTCCGTCTAGGCAGACGCCGCCGTCATCAGACTAGGCAGACGCCGCCATCGTCCGTCTAGGTAAAGGCTTCCGCCGCCCGTCCCTGCAGACGCCGCCGTCGTCCGTCTAGGCAGACGCCGCCGTCATCAGGCTAGGCAGACGCCGCCATCGTCCGTTTAGGCAGACGCTGCCGTCATCAGGCTAGGCAGACGCCGCCGTCGTCCGTCTAGGCAGACGCTTCTGTCGCCCGTCTCTGCAGACGCTGCCGTCGTCAGTCTAGGCAGACGCAGCCGTCGTCAGTCTAGGCAGACGCAGCCGTCGTCAGTCTAGGCAGACGCAGCCGTCGTCAGTCTAGGCAGACGCCGCCGTCGTCAGTCTGTGCATCTCTGATGATGCTAAATCATGACATCAATCACTTACTTCTGTGTGACTGAGTTTCCATAGAGGGGGAGGAAGAGCGGGAAGAGATACGGAGCGACGCAGGTGGACACCAGCAGGCAGAGCTGAGCTTTCAGCAGACTGAGGACCGAACCTCGGAGCCAGGCGTAGTTCTGGAGGACAAACCACCGGATCAGAACCAGAACCACACATGAAAACCGTTGGACAGAAATAAAAGTCTCACCAGTCTCGTTGCATTGAGAGCGTTCCTGTAGCCTGACAGGCTGATCCACGGCCCAAAGACGACGCTGCCCACAAAGAAAACGTAACCGAGGAACTCAGCAGGAGACGGCAGCTGGTTCACGGTTCCTCTGTCCAGATCAAAGGCCAGTGAGATCACCTTCATGGCCACCACCATCTGAGAACCTGACATAAAACACTCAGAGTGGCTCTGCCCTCACTTCAGCAGGAACCAGCCTGGGTCAGGGCTGGACCAGGAAATGACTACATTAGAATTTACAATCAATCTTTCCTCCATTTTCTCTCTAAAGTAGGCGTACACTGAGATTTTCAGGGCGATTTTCCAGTCGTGCGAGAATCTTTCGATCGAGCCGACTTTCAGCCTGATCGTTCGTCATGTGTCGTGTATTGTACACGGGGTAACGAGCGGCGATCAGCCTCTCATGAAAGAAAATCAATCCAAACATGTTTTCTCCCGACCGTCGTGGGCAAATCGCTCAGTGCGCAGGATTCTTCTGTAAACACAGCAGCATGGCAGGGATGCAATGAGTGAAATGCAGTTCTGTCTGTTTCCAAATACGTCGTCGCCTTTTCTTTTTAGGGCTTTCAGCACTTAAGTGCAGAAATTGCCAAGGCAGCATGTTTCACTCTAGTGAGCTTCATATTCCTCTTCTATTTGTTTGGCTTCCAGATAAATATGGAGAGATATTTGTGCCATTGGTTTGAGCGCGCAGGAACCAATCTCAACTCTGAAAAACCTTCTCAACTGTTCTCGCACTCAGTTTCATCTCTGCGCGTGTTCGGATCCGTCTCTGCTCGCGCTCGACCTGCTCTCTCTCAGCGCTCAACAACAGCTGTGCGCTCGGCTGTTTCTCCGCTCGATCGACTCTGCGCTCGCAACTTCAGCAATGTATGTAAATGAACCATACCATCAGCCAATCACGCTCAGCTTCTTTTCATCCAATGAAAGCATTCGTTCTTCCGGTTATCTTGAATTATCTCAAATAAACTTCAGTAAAACAGTTATTAGATCATTGCCTCATCCATCTCTTTTACCTGCTATTGACATGGATTAAAATTTGCTGTTTTAAAAGAAAAATAGGGAGGATATTTCACATTGAAGTATGGTTCAACAATATATAGATTAAAAAATATTATGGATATGTTAAATTTTTATGGATGCCTCAAAATATTCCAATATTAGGAATGGTGTTTTGTTTTAGTTCCAGAATTTTTTTTTAAATCGGGTAAAAGAATCAGTGATCAGTAACCGGATTTAGTATTTTTGGAACGAATGCTTTCATTGGATGAAAAGAAGCTGAGCGTGATTGGCTGATGGTATGGTTCATTTACATACATTGCTGAAGTCGCGAGCGCAGAGAGTCGATCGAGCGGATAAACAGCCGAGCGCACAGCTGGTGTTGAGCGCGGAGAGAGAGCAGGTCGAGCGCGAGCAGAGATGAAACTGAGTGTGAGAACAGTGTGTTGAGAGGGTTTTTCAGAGTTGAGCGTGCGCCAGACCGGTTTTGGTTCGGATTGGTTCCTGCGCACTGAAACCGATGGCACAAATATCTCTCCATAGAAAAACCTAGATTATGGTCGTGCAGTGTGAACAGCATGAGAGCGTCGGGCCGAACATAGAATGTGAGCTGTGAGCTCACACCGTACGACTAAACCGCAGGGTTTAGTCGTACGGTGTGAGCAGTAGCTGCGTGGAACAACTGAAAAAAATTGTCCTAAAATCTGAGAATTGGAGAAATCACTAAGCTGAGGACGGCTAACAGGCGGGATTATTTGGTTCTTACCTCGGATTTTATTCCAGGTTCCCATGTCAATGAAATGCAGCTCTCTAAAACAAATCAAGACATTTCTTTCAAACTTTTAGAGACAAACTCAGAACGTCTGAAGCTTAATAAAACATCTGACAGAAACAGTCATGCTAAATAATGATAATCTACAGGCGCAATTCATCTAAAAACTATTTTTAAAGACTTTAAATTCCAGAAGAGCTTCACAAACTGAAAAACAAATTATTTTTCTTAAAATCCTGCTTCTAAACGAGCTGAACTACGAGTCTCTCCAGGTCTCAAAGTGAATCAGCTGCAGCTGAATGGACTGTAAAGGTCCTAAATCATCTCTGAGCGTCCGGCTCATTCCCAGAAACCCCGCTCAGTCAGCCGGCGGGGTTCTCACCCGATGAGGAGGTAGACCAGGATAACAGCGGAGACAAAGAGGCCTTTGTTGCCTGAGCGCCTGCAGAGCAGCAGGCTGAGGTAGCAGCTGACGGCGAGCAGCAGAACCCACAGCGTGTGCAGATCCAGGAACAGGAAGAGGCCGTACGTTCCAGTCAGCATGGAGACGACGTGCTTCACCGGCGCCCAAACACCTAAGAAACAGAAACAGGGAAACATTGAAGTGACTCTTTTCTTAGCAAACAGTGGAAAGGTGAAAGGCTTCCTGTTTGCTGATGCTCACCGAGCCTTAAGACGACTCTGCAGACGAGGCAGAGGAGGAGCAGCTTCCAGACCTGCTGAAGGCTCTGCTGCAGAGTAGAGACGCCGCAGCTCTCTGCCAGCTCCCTCCAAATCAGCAGCCTGTCGCTCAGCTCCATCCTGCACACAGAAACACGGACTGAGGACGACCAGTCCAGGCGGGCTCCTGAGACTGGGCGGCTCCCAGGGGCCCCAAACTTTATTCACATAGAAACATCCTAGAGTCACTCATTAAAACATAATATTCACAGTTCTCTCTCCCAGATCGTCCACACCTGCAGAAAACCAGGACCGGCAGCTGGGACAGCACCATTGAACCGGTCTGAACCAATGCTGCCTGTAGCGACTGTAGAGAGGAAAAACTCCCTTTGAACAGGAAGAAACCTCCAGCAGAACCAGGCTCAGTGTGAGCGGCCATCTGCTGAGGCCCACTGGGGTTCAAGGAGACAGAAGCAGACATAGAAAAAGAAGCATAGATACAAAAGGCAACTGTCAACCAGCTCCACAGGCGGCCCCGTCCAGGAAACACACAGCCAGGCAGACGAGCTCCGAGCCAGCTCCCATGTCAGAGGATGAAGAGAGCACATCCAGTTAGTCACAGTCAGAGAAACAGGACTACACTGGAAAACAGGCCAAGCTCCAACATCTAGAAACAAAGGTGTTGATGGCAGCAGCACAGCTGATATTTCTCTCCAGGATGGAGTCACAGCCAAACAGGAACAGACCAGATGAAGCTACTATGAGAAAAAGCAGAGAGAGCAGAACGTTAGAGATTGAACTAACAGATTCTGCAGAGTGGGAGAATAGAGATAGAATGAAGCAGAATGATGAAAAAGGGGTCCCTATGTCCTCCAGCAGTCTAAGCCTATAGCAGCAGAACTATAGAGATAGCTCAGGATAAACTGAGCCACTCTAACTAGAAGCTTTATCAAAAAGGAAAGTTTTAAGCCTAGCCTTAAAAGTAGACAGGGTGTCTGCCTCACGGACTAAAACTGGTAGTTGGTTCCACAGGAGAGGAGCCTGATAACTAAAAGATCTGCCTCCCATTCTACTTTTAGAAATTCTAGGAACCACTAGTAAACCTGCAGATTGAGAGCGAAGTGCTCTGTTAGGAACATAAGGAACAATCAGATCTCTGATATCAGATGGAGCTTGGCCATTTAAGGCTTTATATGTGAGAAGAAGGATTTTAAATTCTATTCTGGATTTAACAGGAAGCCAATGAAGAGAAGCCAGGATAGGAGAGATATGATCTCTCTTTTTCATTTTCATTAGAACTCTGGCTGCAGCATTTTGGATCAGCTGAAGGCTTTTAACTACAGTTTGTGGACTTCCTGATAGAAAAGAATTACAATAGTCCAGCCTTGAAGTAACAAATGCATGGACTAGTTTCTCAGCATCACCCCTGGACAGGAGATTTCTCATTTTTGGCAATATTCCTCAGATATTGCAAAAATTCTGAAATGAACCGGTCTGAACCGGACCTGCTGGGTCATAAACCCAGACGAACCGACGGGACGGAGCTGGTTGTGGTCAAAGGTCAGATGGAGAACTTTTTTAAGATGTTGCCTAAGCTACAGCTGAGCCGGTTCCAGGTTGAGGTTAGCGTAGGATCTGTAGCTTCTGATGGATCTGTTTCTACGATGGCGTTTCCAGCTGAGAAGTGATGCTAGAACAGCTTCAGATGCTTGGTGGACCAGGGTCCCTGTGGGAGAGGACATCCCAGGCAGGAGACATAGATTCACTTCATACTAAAACTACAGCCCATAAAATGTAAAAACATCACATCTCTGCTGAGACTAATTCCCTGTTAATTTCCTTTATTTGCTCCATTTTATCAAAGTACCGCAGCATCATAATATCTCTACTATGGTTAGCAATAAATCAGTTATTTAATTAGATCTCACTATTTTAATAACGGATTTATCTGAAGGAATCTGACTGATTGAATTTTCTGCTACAGAGAAATATAATTCAAAATTAAATTACTATTAAACATATCTGGTTCATTCATTTTAGTTTATTACAAATATGAGAAGAAGAAAAAAGGAAATGAATCCAATCAATCCAAAATAATAATGGAAAATAAAAGGTATAAATACTTAGATGAAAAAATTCCCACGAATTATCTTCCTAAATTTGAACGTTTTAGGATTTTATTTCACAATAAATCCTAATATATAAGTTAATTAATTAATCTCTGGTCATATATTGTATTTGGTTAACTTTTTTTCACCTTTTTATGCCGTTTCATCTGTATCTGTGAGAAGCAGGGAGACTTTAGCTGGAAAAGTTGGGATCGATGTGAATAAAGTTTGGAGGGAAGGAAAATCCTGACCTGATCCTGGGGGAGAAACTCTACAGTTGTCCCTGAAGCCGGAGGAAGTTTGGAGCAGCAGATGTTTCCAGATGTTCCTGCTGGTCTCTAATCTCAGCCTGATTTCATCCCGCAGTAAAATCTGTGTTCCTGCTCCAGCTGCTCCACACCGGAAACAGCGTCACCGGCATCACGGGAAATACGTCACCTTTATGGGAAAACTTTTCTTCATTCTTTCAGCTGATATTTTCCTGTTTAACAGAAAGACTCGCGCGTTTATCATGAGGTTCTGGCTCTGATACAGCTAGAGAAAAGCCGCGTGCGCGGTTCCGTCTTTTCTCGAGCCTGTGGCAAAGAGACGCAAACATGTCCGCCTTATTGTGAGTGGCAGGTTTGCCTTATTAAATCAAACTAGGTGGTTTATTCACCGTCAAAGTTGCAATTCTTCACATTTAAAATAAAACCTGATTATTTTATTATTGCTGGAATTAAAATCCCGCCAGGTTTTAGTGTGAGCATCATCTAGGCTGCAAATCAAAGTTAGAACAATCAAACACCCTGTCCTGGGTGTGGACACTGGACAAGTGTTGGTTCCGTCAACAATGTCAAAATTATTTTGTTTCATTTCATTCATGACGCTAACAAAAACTGATGAGCTAAACATGGATCTTTGAAGAAAAATGATCATGAACCTGGGTCAGAACCTTCTCCAGAAGCACCATAGAGAGCGTTCTGAGCAGCTGTCTCACTGTGTGGTGTGGAGGCTGCAGCGCCTCAGACTGGAAGAAGGTGAGAACAGCAGAGAGGATCATGGGGGCTCCTCCTCCTTCCAGTAAAGACATTTCATCCCAGCGCCGCGTGTCCCGAGCCCGTGACATCATCAATGACCCCTCACCCCCCCACCATGGACTGTTCTCCCTGCTGCCCTCCGGGAAGAGGCTTCACAGCATTCAATGCAGGTCTAGCAGTAGATTAACAGGCCACCTTATGTCAAAATGTTTAATAACTCAGTGCAATATATATATACACACACACACATATATATATATATATATATATATATATATATATATATATATATATATATATATATATATATATATATATATATATATATATATATATATATATATATATATGTATATATATATATATATATATATGTATATATATATATATATATATATATATATATATATATATATATATATATATATATATATATATATATATATATATATATATATATTCTATATATATATATATATATATATATATATATATATATGTATATTCTATCATGGCGGATCGCAAGTTTAAGGTGCATACCCCCACCTACTGTTCATGAGTGTTTAGCAACATTGTTTTACATCTATTAAATTCTATTTTTTTATTTTGTATTCTGAAGATAAATAAATAATGCTTTCCTTAATCTATAAATATCCTTTATATTTCCTTTATTTCCCAATAATCCTTTAAGACTCCATTCTTGGCCTGTCCTTTCAACTACTCTTCTCAATTTCTCCCTTTCAGGTTCATATGTTTTACAGTTCATCAATACGCGTTCTACATTTTCTTTTTCTCCACATCCTTCACAATTATCATTATTTTTCCTCACTATTAAATATAAATTGTCATTTAAATAAGTATGACCTACTCTTAATCTGATCATTATTATTTCTTCCCTTCGGTTTCTCTCATTAATATTTCTATTTAATACTGACTTTTATACTTTATATAATCTTCTTCCTTTTTTATCTTCATTCCACCTTTTTTTTTGCCATTTTTCAATTTCTTTCCTCTTAATAAATGATTTTCCTTCCCCTTTTCCTTGTAATTGTTATTGCCTCCTCTAAAGCCCTTTTTGCTAATTTGTCTGCCTTTTCATTTCCTTTTACCCCTTCATGTGCTGGAACCCAACAAAACCAAATATCAATGCCACTCCTGTATAATCTAAATAAACTGAGCTGAATTTCTAATACTAAATCTTTCCTATTATTTCCTTCTCCCTGAATACTTTCTAAAACTGCTTTGGAATCCCTGCATACCACCACCCTGTCTGGTCTGACCTCCTCAACCCATGTAAACTCAGTATACATCGATCTTTAAGATGCAAACTTTACAGAAATGGCTTCTAGCTGGTCAAGCAAACTGATTAAGGGATAGGGTAATGCAGAGGTTTGCCAAATGAGCAGCGACCATGAATTACAACAACATGAAAATATGACAGAGAAATATTCAATAGCGTCACGAAGGACATGTTAGGTTTCTGTTTCTGTTATGTTTTTCTTTTGATATTTAGTTTTGCTTTGCTCTTTGTTTTATAAGTTTTATGGTTTAATTCTTATATTTTTGTGTTCCTTGGCTTTTTCCGAGTGACTGTTTCAGTCTTGGTTCTGATATGTTTTTATTTTTAGTGTTCAGTTTTGCTTTACTCCATGTTTTATAGTCTTAGTGGTTTAATTCTTATTTTGTTCTTTCTGGTTATTTCCAGTTCTCAGGTTTTTATTTGTTGCCCTCTGCTGCCCTCTTGAGTTCTCCTTTTTTTTCTTGCTCCTTTCTTGTTTCTGCTCTGCTCACACCTGCTCCTAATCTGCTCGTTAGTCCTCTCTTTGTTTCTCCTACAAATACTCTCTCTGTTCTGTTCCTCTTTGCTGGGTCCTCGTCTAACCTCATCAGTCTCCCTCCTACTCGTCTCTCTGAGCCTCCCTCCAGGTTCCAGTTCTTTCCCTGATGACTCCTAGGTTTTGGTAACGTTTGACTTAAGTTTTCATCTTTTTTTCTTAGATCTTTGAATTTTTGCATTCCTGGTTTCTTGTTTGTTTTAGGACTTTGTTTTCATTTGGATTTTTTTGGATTCCTGTTGCCTGTGGTTTGTAATTAGTATCAGTAATCTTCATTAAATCTACTAAAAATTCACCTCTGCCTGCCTGCCTGCCTGTGCTTCTGGGTCCGCTATCCACAAACGAACCCTGACAGGACAGGTGTATTGCCATCAGTATCATGTTATGAGTATGTGACCTCACGTCTTTCATACTATATTTCTAGAAAATAGCTTAAAAAAAGTTGAGAATGTTCCCACAGCAAACAGCCTAAATACCCAAATATGTATCAGTCTATTTTGCTATGGCACAAAAAAAAAGCGTCAGTACAATTAAAAGTTTGCTCTATAAATGAAATAGCATTGAAAAATGATTATCATTTTAAATAAGTTTTATAATTTAAATAAGCAATACCTACACTTTGATAGATTATTACTCCTAATTTAACTATAAAACAAGCAATAGCTACACTCTAACATGGTGTAGCAATATCAAACTTGCTGTAACACAAACAACACTCCATTCTGATCATACTACACCGCTTACTCCGGGTAAATATGCCTACATGTATCCCTTGTGACGTTTATCATCAAAGCAGATAATAAATGAACAATAGCTGCACTCTAACTCAGGGATTCCCAAAGTGTGGTGCTGGCATCCCTAGCGGGTCGCAAGCTGCAACCAGACTGTAATGGTGGCTTGATAATTACACAATAATAATGTTTTTGCTCACACAATAAAGACGCTTCAATAAACATTTTGTTTGTAAAAATGTAAATCCAGACTGTAATTTTAATGAATGAATAGAGGAAAAATATATTTAATTAAAGAAGTCTTTTTTACGCTTCATGTTTTGAGGAAAGGCTATTCGGTCTGTTATGGTGCAAATACTCAGTCTTTCTCTGATTTGTTTTTTTTTTTACTTAAAATAAAAAATAAAAAAAACAATAAAAAGAATCCTCTGAAAAAATTTCTGATTTTCCATAAATGCTTTAGTGTTAGAAAAAGAAACTGCCTGCTTAGCAAACAAACAATTAGGGCATGCCTGCTCATCTCCAACTTCAGCTACTCTTTGTTCCTGCCACTCACATTTCTCTTTTTTTTTTCACTCACATTTCTTTTATCCTTAGTTCTTCATGTCTGATGTACTTTTTTCCATCAAGTCTTTCTATCCATACTTTTGTTTTTGCATACTTATGTTTATTTTACTGGGAGAAGGTCAAATTAAAACATCAATTTAAAATATATTATTTAAACATTTTTCTGAGCTCAATCCATTTCTGCTGTGGGCTTTCTATGTGTTAAGGTCAGAGATGGCAAAAGTACTCACTTTCCGTACTTGAGTAAAAGTACAGATACTTGTGTTAAAAAATACTCTGATAAAAGTGGAAGTACTGATTAAACTTCTTTACTCAAGTAAAAGTAACAAAGTACAGGCTTGTAAATTTACTTAAAGTATAAAAGTAAAAGTAGAAACCACTTTTTTCATGCCGTTGCCTACATTTTAAATGGATGTCTGCCAATAGGACTAGATCTCCGTTGTGTTCATTTTCAATCATCTCGTCGTCCATGCTACTATGCTAACGCCACCGCCACCAAGCTGCAATGATTTGCCGCGAATGAATACCGCCGAATCTGTGGATTCATCTTGTAGTGGTGCGTGAAATGCAACGTAGATTCCCATCCAATTAGATTGAATTTGGTATTGATGACGTGAAAAATAATAACGGAAATAGAAAGCCCACATTCATATCTTCAGGTAACACAGAGTACATGTCAGACTTAATAATATTACTTTAGCGATAGTTTCAAGGTGTTGCTTTATTGTATGTCTCGTACCATGTCTTTTGGTTGTGCTGTTCTTTTCATCTTGTTACAGGTGATGAAGCAGACTGAAAATGTTTTGTCATTGTCTCCTTTCTATCTCCTCTTTCTTTCATCTTTTGTCCTTTTTTTTCCTTTTTCTTTTTCCTTTTTCTTCTTCTGTTTTTCTGCTCTACTTACATTGCAGTGTCCATATGAACTGTAAAACTCCCTGCATAATTATAATAAAGCAATTTATATGCATGAAACAAGTGGAGCAGTATTGCAATTGCCATACCGCTACACTTGTGAAAGGAAAATCTGTTGGGCTCCTTTTGGCATCAAGACAATTATTCTTATTGCCATCTTGCCAGACAGGACACTGTAAAAAAAAATAAAATAAAATAAAAATAACGGTAACTCCATTGAAATGATTCAAAACTAAAGTAACGAGCCAATTTTTTAAAATGTAAGGAGTAGAAAGTACAGATATTTGTGTAAAAATGTAAGGAGTAGAAGTAAAAAGTCGCCATAAAAATAAGTA